AGAATAGAATAGAATAGAATAGAATAGAATAGAATAGAATAGAATAGAATAGAATAGAAGAAAAATGTGAAATCTCGTCAAGTTTTGAACAGGAAAGCTGAAAGTGTTAAGGAATGAAAATGGTTCACATAGCCCTGGCTAACCTACACCGACACAGTCGGATAGTGAGTGTGCGTTACTCATAAAACAACTCACAGCATCCATATAAGCAGTAGTCCAGTGCTATGGAAGAGAAATAATGGTGCTGGGACTGCACAGCTCAGCGGGGATTGCGCAGTCTCAGCCTGACTCATCAAATTAAAACGTTTCTATTCCCAATAGAAAGCTCACACGAATTCCCACTTCCCTCTCTTGACCACACTACACACAAACCACCAGCAGTTAAGTGGGAACTGAAGAACATGAAGACCAGGGCTGTCACCTCCCAAGTCCTTTCACTGTGACAGAAAAGAAAGGGAAAGGTCAAGGGAACGTCAAGTCAGCAAGGTGTCATCAAAACTTAAGGGACTGCTGTGAATTCCAATGCTGTTCCAGCTATAAGAGTATATTTTCCACTCTTGATGAAAAATAAAGTTGATAGCCATGAATTACATAAAGACATTTGTATTGTGTGCACCCCAAACAGATGGGATTAGCATTCCAGAAAGGTCAAGTGCAGCACTGAGCTTGTATTTTTCCACTAAAACTAACATTCCTTGCACAGAGTTTGTAAAATTGGACAGCTATTACCATTTGATAAGATTTATGACATTATAGGTTATGACATTAAGAGCAAAACTAGGGGCTCTTTCAAATCCACTGTAACTTACTATCAAAAAAGGATAACATATATTATTATTGTTATTATTAATTATTATTATTATATGTTATTGTTTTAGAGGCAGGATCTCACTATGTACTCCTGGCAGGCCTCAAACTCACAGAGATTCATCTGTCTCTGCCTCCCAAATGCTGGGGCTAAGACTAAAACTTCCACACCTAGTCAAGAGAATTTTTTAAATGAAAGAGAAAAAATTAAATTCAGGGTATATTTATCTATAATCACCACTCTGATCAAAACTGGTAGAAATTATTTTTCTCAAAACAAATTGAGAAATTGAGAAAAATAACCTGGCGTCAATCTTTCCTACAATTTCAAGTACACATTTAATCATTTGATAAATCATATTTGATTATATAATCATAATCTTGAGAAAAACCTTCAATTTATCTAGAAATCCAAGCATAGGGAGTGTCAAATGCTAAAGACTGCTGAGAACCAGGAACTAGGTGCTGAGTGTGAGCATGACCTCTACAGCCAGACACGGCCACTTCTCAGCTTCCCTCCATGCTTGACGGAGACAGCCCCACTGGGCTGCAGTGAGGACTGGGTGGATAGAGATGAAGCTTTGCAGGCTGCATGACACACTACAGATGGGCAGCAACAGCAGCACTGGCGTTTCTAGAGCTAGCCTGCTGTTCCTTGCTTAGCAAACGTCCAACACCAGGAAATAAACATCTGTATGGACAAGCTGAGGGCAGTCTTCTCTTCCTCTGCACCTTTCCTTAGTGCACTTTGTATGTGCACATACAAGTTTTACAATTACAAAAATGTTTCTGGTGGAAAAACAGGAAAGAAAAAGTGGAATTTCAGAAAATGTTGGTGCCTTAAATGAAGCGGTTCAGCAGAAGCCCAGAGGGTCTCTTTTCTCTTTACACAATGAACAAATTGAATGGGGCGAAGTTGAAATAAAAGAGGATTCCTGTCTCTCCATTTAATATGTTGTAATTGTAATGTTAGCAACAATTTATAATTTTATTATGTCTTACATTCTAAAAATATATTCCATAATTAATGTTAAAGGTAAGCTCAGAATCAATTTTCCATGTTTTAAAATCAGACATATTCCAGCAATTCTGTGGGTTAAATGGCCTTTGTGGCCTGGCCCCAAGTGCTAACTGATCATTTAATGCACTATCTTTCTAGAAAAATGAACTATGAGAAACAAGCAGTTGTTAAAGAAACACACCTATAGTCCTAGCACTCAGGGGAGCAGAGGCAGGGGATCTCTCTGAGTTCCTTGTGAGCTACACAGTGAGAACAGGTCTCAAAAAAAAAAAAAAGAAAAGGAAGAAAAAAAAAGAATCAAATATATTTCCATTCCATAGTAAGGGGTTTCAGATACAAAGGGTTACAAAAGAAAAGAACCAACTTCTGAATGTTAAAATTTTACACCCAAAATAACAACATTTGAAACTACACTTTAAAAATAGTTCTGTAGTTAAAGTACATTTTTAGAGTGTTGCAGAAAAAGTGAACCATGAGCCCTGGTTTTCAGCTGCAGATAGATGTGTGGCTCAGTCTGGGACAATGAGGAGTAAGCAGAGTCTGTGGGCACCTCCACGAAACAACTCTTTTATGGAGACTTGTCCTTCCAGCTTCCTGCAATGCATAAGCAAGGACAATGTAGGTGGCCACCTTGATTTGGAGGCAAATGCTGCGGAAGAACAGGGAGGCGGCAGGGAAGGGAATGGCTGTGCTGGAAAGACTGAGTCCTTCAGCTGTCCAACTGCTCTGAGTCGCCTGCCTCCACGCTTCCTTCATGAGGGATAACCAATCACCACTCTTGGGTACGCCCTTCAGGGCATGGGTTCTGTCCCTCAGTGGCAGACAAGCAAACATGGGAAGTTTCTCCCCAGAAACTTGAAACGTATTTGTTTGTTCTTTATTTTTACTGATTGGTCTCAAACCAGGACCCTTAATGAACAATTCTCATTGGAGAGGTAAGTGTGGAAACCTTAACCCTCCAAGGTTCTGACTCAGACTTTCTGTCTTTCGAAGGGGTTGACGCCGCAGGACTCACCCAGCAGAGGATCAGTAAAGTCCACCTGTGCCGAGGAGCTGCAGGCCAGCGAGTGCGACTCAAGCTTGGCCTGCGTCCACTGACCAACTGTCTCCTGAAACTCATGCTGGATGCGCTCCATATTCAAGTACTCCATCCACAGGTCCTAGAGGAGAACCAAAGCACTTGAACCTTGGGAGATGAATCATATGTCCACACATACAGCTATGAATTTACCTCAGTGTGTGTCTCAGTTTCAATGAGGTGACCCACTAGGCTTCCATCATTAGCATGAGCTGCGCTGCAAATGATCACTAACAATCTTAACAGCAGTCACAAAAACTTTTTGCTAATACACCATGATTTAAAAAAAAAACCTGCTAAACAGCCTCACCACATGCATATTAATTGAAACACACACCACTAGGCTACTAAATTATGTGCATTATAAAACATATAATAAAAACAGAACATTTTTAAAGTAAATACAGGAGCTAGCTTGCCGCAGTTAAGAGCACATACTGCTCAGCAGAGGCCCTGAGCTCAGTTCCCAGCACCCACGTTAGACAACTCACAACTGCCTGGAAATCCAGCTCTGAGAGAACCAAAACCTCTGGCCCCAGTAGCAGCTGCATGCATGTATACATACCCTCCCACAGACACACACACAAAGAGACATGCAATCAAAGATGAATTTAAATTTAAAATAATAAAATTAAATCTTTAAAATGTTTTTGTTTTTGTTTTAAAATAAACACACTGAAGCTAGGCATAACAGCTCATTCCTGTAATCTCAGCTCTCAGGCTAAGGCGAGAGGCTTGCTGCAAATTCAAGACCTCTGGTCTACATAGTGAGTGACAGCCCCCCTGAGCTACAGAGCAAGACAATGCATGGCAAATTAGCCTGGATTAAGCAATTTCAATTAACTTTCAAAACATGTACAAGAAATACAGGACACAGAAAAGTATGTCAAACTACACCACAAAGGTAAAACCAACAAAAATAAAAATGTGAAAAACAACGGACAGAACCAGCTGGTTTCTTCAACAGATAAACTATAAAAGGAATCAAAGGAAAAGAAAACCTATAGATTAAATAAGCCCATCAACCACTCTCAAAATGTGGTTCCTAGCCACTTTTCTCTAGCCCGCATGATTACTAATTTTAAAGCACCCATGTTTCCACTATCTGTAAAGACTTGGGAAAAGATTAAGAATGCAAAACCAGGCGGTGGTGGCGCACGCCTTTAATCCCAGCACTCGGGAGGCAGAGGCAGGCGGATCTTTGTGAGTTCGAGGCCAGCCTGGTCTACAAGAGTTAGTTCCAGGACAGGCTACAAAGCTACAGAGAAACCCTGCCTCGAAAAACAAAAACCAAAAAACAAAACAAAACAAAACAAAAAAGAATGCAGAACCCAAGAAGAAATGGGTGAGGGACAGCATTTGAGAACTTTTCCTGCTCCCCCAGCCTTTTATTGTCAACTGTATTTTGAGCCTTACATATTCTTTCACAGGGTTGTGACACCTTTACTCTGTTTCCTAATCTAGCCGGTCTACTATCATTAAGCCCACTTTCTCTACCAGGTCCATTCCTGAATTCTCCATCTCTTATCTCCCTCCAGGCTGCCTCCCTAACAGAGCTCTCTGCTGAAGGCATTTCCTCTTCTCACATTCCTTTCTTGGTAAATAGCTCCTCCAGATAGCCCAAGTGGGGGTGGGAGGACTAGCCCTTCTTACAGATGTAACCAATTCAAAATCCCTCCTCCAGGGCTCCAGTGAGATTGCTCAGTAGGTAAGAACACTAACTGACTCTACCTACATCAGGTAGGTCGCAACTGCCTATAACTCCAGTTCCAGGGGATCTGATACCCTGTGACCTCAGAGGGCACCTGTACACACAGTACTCTTAAACTCACTCGGGCACAGACACACTCATAAACAATAAAGAACTGTTTAAAAGCCTACTCCATTTACTCAACCATTGCCATAGTTATCTAAGGATTTCAGAACAAAACCTGAAGTCTTGGGGACGGTGCACGTGGCCCTAGGTGGTCACACCCTGGCCAGCATCTGCAGTTCTGCTTGTGCTGCTCAGCTGCTCCACCCTCGCCACCACTGTGCACAGGCTGTGGTTTGGCCTGGACTAGGCTTTCATCACTTAACAACCCTGTCTTCCCATCAAACATCACCAAGCTCCCACTAGTCCTTCAGAGCTCAGCTCCCAAGTCACTACTTCAGGCTGGGTGTCACTGGGCTCACAGGGCACTGCAGGCATTTCTCTCCCTGCCTTGATCACAGGTGCGATCACTGCACATTAGCTCTCCCTTGCAGGCAGGGCTTCTCCAGATTTCTCTTGGTATCTTTGGCATTAATAACCTGGCATTCAATAAATACTGGTGTAAGGAAGAGAAGAAGGAAGGGAGGAAAGAAGGACAAATGTATCTACTGTAGATGAAATTCTATATACAGTGTGGAAATAGACAGACTTAAGGAACCAACTGAAAGTCCCCCACATCTCAGAAGCTACTAAATCATATCCAAAGCAGGGTCAGCAGCTGCCAGAATTCAGCCCCTAGATAAAAATATTCCCAAGAGAGGCCTTCTTTTCTACTTCCCTGTCTCCTTTCAGCCTACCTCCAGAAGCTTGAAAAAAACGAGACTACAAGTTAGGGCTGAAAAAGAATCACAGACAGTGGTTGTGGCAGGAAGAAAACCTATGAGGACACACAGGAAGAAGAATCAGGTGGCTCCGGAAGGACAAATCAGAACTAGACACGGACAAGAAAGCCTCTCCATCAGCTCCCTGTCACAGATCACCTAAAATGCATTCCTGTGCTTCTGAGGGTAGAGATGGCGGGATGTATTCAACAGGTCACAACTCAAATAAGCAAGAACACAGTCAGACAAAGGCTGAGTTCTTCAGGTTACAAAAAAGCCTAGAACAAGCGTCAGGCCTTCAGGTGAGGCCAGGACAGAGCGGTCAAAGGGTTCATTATACACTGAGTACACCCACCAGGATGACTGTGTGGTCACCATTCTGTATCAGTACTGGGTGAATATTGACGTTTAGTTCAATTTACATTTAGAAATTAAAAAAAAAGGTATTGTCATGGTTTTACCTGCTGATTCTGCATCACTTTTGCCAGCCTGTGGATATCATAATGCTTTGGTAAAGAAGGAATATAAGTATCTCCTTTTTGAAAATTTTCATCTTCTAGCCATAACATATATACATTGAAAAGCCTAAAAGATAAAAACACAATTACATAAAATGTAAAAAGATGTGCAGACAAATAAAGTTTCTTATATTTACTAAGAACTCTGGTACCACCATCTGAGAGTAAAGAAAGGCTTCCATGAAGAAATGAGTCTAGCAGCCACTGATTCTCCTAAGAAGCTCAAAGTGGGACCTGCACACACTATTAAAACAAGATCCAATGGGACTGGAAAGATGGCTCAGAGGTTAAGAGTACTGATTGCCCTTCCAGAGGTCCTGAATTCAATTCCCAGCAACCACATGGTAGCTCACAACCATCTATAATGAGATCTGATACCCTCTTCCAGCCTGTAGGCATACATGGAGGCAGAATATCGTATACATAATAAATAAATAAATCTTTTTTAAAAAAAACAAATCAAGATCCAACTTATGTAACAGGTCTGAAAGGGGCTCCGAGACCCCAGCTATGGATGAAGGAGTAAGTGGAGGATATGCCTGGAGGAGTGCTTATACCACATCCTAGGATCTGAACTCAGCTTTGCTGTCCTGGTTGAGCCAGACATAGCCAGTCTTAGTGCTTGGAAAATACCAAAAGCTAGTTTCTATCCAACTGCAAGCACTTGCCAGCTTAAGAGCAATGGCCACTCTTGTCTCAAGGAAACCATAAATAAACCTGTGGATCTGTGTACCTTGCTCTCATTAAAAAGGAATATTTTTTTAAAAACTAGGCTTACAAAAGTTATGTCTTTATTTTGAAATATATTTTAACAGTTTGTTTATGTTTTGCTTTTTCAAAGAACAGAATCATCTATCAGCTAAAACCACTGGTATCCAAGGCATTGTTTGAAAAATAGCATGGAAAAGTAGTTGGCAGACACAGATGACCAAAAGGCAGTCTGGGTAGCTCTGGCCAACAAAGCGGAAAACTACCTCCTTTATGAGCAGGACAGGGAACCAAGGACGAGAGCTACAGACAAGGATGGTGCATGCATAGATTTCTCTTCTAGCTCCTGACTCAGAAAAATGGATGCTTTCTAAAAACCCACAGAGGGAACTGAAAAGAGGGAGTATCAATGACCTAAAATGTTCCAAGAGAAAATCTCCTAGTAAAATTGGTTAAAAATAAAAGGGGAGGGTCCTTTAACCACTCACAGCTGAGAGCAAGTCCTGAGGGCCCCAAGGTCAAAGCAAGCCTGAGACCTGGGTTTCCTCACTCACCAAGGTGAGGACAATGCCGAAAAGCCATGTTTATGAGGTCTTGCTCTAAGACAACCATTTAGACTAAGTTAAATTTACAGGCAGAAACTACGCTAACCAACCCTGGCTCACTCTGAAGTTCCAAACACTTAGAGACAGACTAATCTGTGCCCAGAATGATAAGCCCCTGGATCCTATCAAGCATCTCAGAGCTAAAGAACCCTGTGTTAGTCATTTCTTTCTTTTAACAGCTATTTAAAAGGTTCTTGTAGTTTTAGGCCTGATATGATCAATTTGTTTTGGCTTGGCTCTATTTTCACATAAGAAAGAGAAGAGTACCAGCCCTCTGAGTTATTACTCAAACACTCAACAAAGCTACATCCAAACTTCTCATGGAAACATCTCTAGGTATGAATCAGTGTCAAAGCCACCTCCCAAATACAATCTAACAATTTAAGAGTAACAGCTGAGCTCTGTATCAAAGCTAACCTCTCCAACATCATCTGTGCCACAAATACCAGCAGATAGCTACCTTACCTTACTAGCTCCCTGTGCAGTTCTGGCGAAGTCAGGTAAGCAGGGGTCCCAGCCTGCGGCTCTGCTGTCCCTTCACTGCCCTCTGCTGGAACACGGAGGGCCTTGCTTGCAGCATAGTGGAAGTCAGCCACCTCAGTCAGGCGTCTTTTCATGTCTTTCAACAAATTGATATGTGAGGGACTTTGAAAAAACCTTCTTCCAATACAACCATCTATGGGCAACCTTAAAGAATAAGGAGAACTTAGAGCCTTTGAGCAGAAAATACCTAAGCGGCTGAACATAGCAGTCAATCAGTAAGTTATCTTGCTATACCTCAAAAGCTATTTTGAGGATATAAAGAAAGGGTATACAGAGTTCCCCTCAGCTGAGTCCATTTCCATGGTTCTAATTATCCATAGTCAACCATGGTACAAACAGAAAGTTCCAGAAATAAGTAATATATGCCTGGTTTTACTTTTTATTCCATTTAGTATGTGTGTGTGTGTGCACATGTGTGTGTATGTGTGGTGTGTGTGCGTGTGTGTGCATGTGTGTGTGTGAGAGAGAGTACAGGGGGACACATTCCATATCATTAGTGTAAAAGCCAGAGGAGAGCTTTTAGGAGTTCCACTGTGAGTTTCTGGAATCCAACTCAGGTTATCAGGTTTGCATGGCAAACTGCTACCCACTGATCCATCTTGCCAGTCCTAGCAATTTTTATTACAGAATACTGTTATACTGTGCTTTCTTTTTCTTAAAAAAAAAGCTTTTCTTAATATTTATTTATTATGTATACAATATTCTGTCTGCTTGTATGCCTGCAGGCCAGAAGAGGGCACCAGACCTCATTATAGATGGTTGTGAGCCACCATGTGGTTGCTGGGAATTGAACTCAGGACCTTTGGAAGAGCAGGCAACGCTCTTAACCACAGAGCCATCTCTCCAGCCCATACTGAACTTTCTTTAAGAGCACATATACTAAACTAACTGTTTATTGCATTAATAGTTATGCTGTTTATCTCTTGCTATGCCCAATTTATAAATGAATTTTATCATAGGTATGTATGCAGAGTATGTAGTTTGGTAGCAACTGAGGCTTCAAAACTCTACAGGGCATCTTGGAATGTGTCCCAAGAGATAAGGGAAAACTGCAGGAAAGTGGACTTGAAAAGAATGAAACACTACAAATCAGGGCATCGGTCTCTGTTCATGAAGAACTCAAAATCTAACAGAAAACAGAGGGAACCAAAAGTCCATCTGTTTCTTTATGTTTCAAAGGAATGAAGGAAGGGGGTGGAAGGGAATTAACTAGGACTGGAGAGCAGGGCTTGATCCCAGTGGACAGTCTGGGCAGGTCAGATTACCTTGATACTCTTGTAGAAAGCCCAGGTCCACTTAAGTATTGAACATAGAATCCTAGCTATGACTCTAACACATCCTCCACAGCAGAACACCTCAGAAGTGAGTTGACAGGAACTTACTACAGTACTGGGTACCATACCCATATTGTGGTCCAGGGCGATGAAGATATAGGAGGAAGAACTTCTGCCAAATGAGTGGAAGAAGAGGATGATCAGAAGGAGTGGCCAGAGCCTGGTGGGCCCAGCGATAAATCATCATCCTCTGCAGGGATGGGACGATGGGCAGCTTCAGCTGGACCTGGGCTTTCTACAAGAGAACTGAGCTTTAGCAATCCCCAAATGAACACAATCAAAACACTATGCTCTAAAGGTAAACATTTTGTTTTCACTTCCATAAAAAAAAGTTATTAAAACATTTTCCAAGCTCACTAGCTGACATTTTAACCTCTTTGGCAGCAAGACATGGGGGACAGTTTTCTACTGAGATTATGTCAAAGACCCCAGAATCAAAATCTTCCTGAAGAGTCATCTAAAGCATGAGGATAGAGCTCAGTTGAGAGCATTTGCTTAGCGTGCTGAAGGCTCTGAGTTCAATCCCAGCACTGTAGTAAACTGAGGCACAGAAGCAGGAGGATCAGAACTTCAAGGTCATCTTCAACTATAACATAAATTGGAGAACAGTCTGGGAATACCTGAGCCTGTCTCAAACAAATGGGAAAAAAATCAAAACTAAACTCATGTCCATTTCTAAATTCCTTTGCATATAAAATATTATACTATGTTCTAATAATGGCCTGGTTCTGGCATTCTTGAACCCACATCAGCTATAACAGGCACACAATCTGCATATCATTGGGTTCAACAGCACCCTATCATTGACGGGGGAGAGACTCAGAAGGTCCATCCCTCCCTGTGGATGGAAGGGGAAGAGAGAGAGAGAAAGCTGGGGAGGGGGAAGTTGGTTGGTTTGGGTTTTGTTTTTTTTTTTTCTTTTTAATTCTTCTTCCTCAGTTGAATAACCCCTGCAAGGTACCCATGCTCCTGTAAGTAATCCTCATTAAATGTATAAAATGGAAAGGAATCAGCTGGGAAGCAGAAGGGAGCCACAGAATAGAAGGAAGATGAGAGGAATGGAAGGAATATTACCAAAGTAGAGTAGAGGTACAGATGAGACGTCCATTATGATCACTAGAATATGCTAGCAAAAACTTTAATAAAATAACTTCATAAAGCAAAGCAGTCAAATGACAGAGAACCAAAAAGGAATCTGTCAAATTTTATCAATCTTGAAAGTCTAGAATCTGTTTTGTTTTGTTTTTTGTTTTTCAAGACATGGTTTCTTTGCATAACAACCCTGGCTGTCCTAGAACTTCCTCTGTAGACCAGGCTGGACTGGAACCCACAGAGATCCTCCTCCCTCTGCCTCTTGAGTGCTAGGGTTAAAGGAGTGGGCTACAACCACCCACTGAAAATCTAGATTTTAACAGGGCTTTTAGGGACTGAAGAATTCCTTGACAGACTCTGAAACCTGAAAGCAAAGCCTCCACTACAATCCTATAATAGATCTCTAGTCTAAACCATTAGCCCAGCTCATTTCACACGCTGGCCATCTCAAGTTTTCCAAAGAAATTCCTCTTTCCAACCGAGGCTCAGAGACTCAAAATCTCTGAAGCAGGCACCTGAATCTGATTTTTAACAAGGTTTAACGAGGAGTTTGGGGGTATAGTTGGGCACAAGAGCAATCACTTCACAGTAACAGCAACCCCCTACATTCAGACTAAGATGACAGGCTCTGGGACAGGGTGGGGACTTGGAGAAGCCAACAGAGCCTTTGGTTCCACAGGATTTCAGATGCTGAATGGAGGGTTAACAGGCTGCATGAATGGCTCGGATGAGAGTGTAAGCCACCTCCAGTAACTCGGATGCAGGACACGACTGTACCTTTAGAGCTTGGTCAGGGGTAAAAGCATTTATAACCAACTCCCCTTCGACAACTCTTCGGAGCTGAGAGTCCTCTTCAAAGATGGATTCCATGTTCAGCACAGTCCATGCAAACCAAACCTACAACACCAAGCAAAGGGGAAGGAAAGAAGACACTATTCAAATTGATAGTATATTCTGCTTACAAGTTTAAATCTTTTTAGGGGTTGAAGGTATGGTTCAGTGTACAGCATTTGCCTAGCGTGTGCAGGTCCCTCGATTTGATCTATAGCGCTGAAAAACACACACATGCAGACATCAGGCAACAAATATTGAGTTTCTAAAGTTCCTATGTACTTAATATGTGTCTATGTTCTTGTCACATGTATACAATTAAACAAAACAAGTAACTGAAAAATGCTAAATTCTTCTAGGGGTAAAATGATGAGGACTGCATTTGGGGGTGGAGTGTTCTAGAGCTCGACAGGAAAGATGGCCCATCAAAGTCTCAGTGAGGCAGAAAAGCAGAAGTAGAAAGGAAGGTATGAGTCTACTTAGAGTGAGGAACTGGTGTCGACTCCCTCTTCCCCCTCCGCCCAGGGAGAGCAGGCTAACTGGGGACATAAGGGAGAGAACAGGGCAGTGATGATGAAACTGCCGCTGCTCCTGCTGTGGCCAAGGCCACACACTGAGTGCTGGCTGAGGTCTGTTCTGAGTGCTGCACATACACATTCAACTACAGTCCCGGCTCAGCACGAGGACACCAAAGACAAAGATAGAAGCAAGTCGCCCAAGGCACAGAGCTAGAACGGCAGAATTACTCTGAAACCTGGGCCACGTACCCCCAACACCCATGCTTGATCTCTCTCCACTCAGCCCCCGACCAGCCTCAGTAAGGACGGTAACAAATGGCCCTCAGTAGACTGCATACCTGTGTGGACATGGACAAGCCCTCCACGAAAGAAGGCGTGATGTTGCCTGCCACAATCCAGCTCACCAGGGAAGAGAGCAGACTCCGGTCACAGTGGTAACCCAAAGCGTTCTACATGGGGAAAGAGGAGCAACAGAGAGTCTTTGAAGACCCTATCATTGACTCTTCCAAGGGTATTAGCAGTTACCTCTACACTGAAAGATTCCAACAGGACACGGGTTTCAATGGTGTTGCTGAACTCAGTTTCAAGTGTTTCATTTAGAATTTTGTCTCAATGTTCATCGGGGAAATTTGCCTATGATTTTCTTTCTTTATCATCTCCTTAACTGTTTTTGGTATCAGAGTAACACTCCTTTTTATTTTTTGGAATAGTCTGGAGTGTGAAACCCTCATTCTCAAAGGGGCAAGAAGAAATTTCCTAGCAGAGTGTTTTCCCAGGAAGATAGTGGCCTTCCCCTCTCCCACCCGGGAGATTCCAAACACAAGGTCACTTAGCTCAGCCCAGCCAGCCACTTGGTACAGGCTGATAAAGATGGCCTAACTCAAGAACAGTGGCTTTGCTCTAAGAACAAGAATAAAGCTGACTTAGCAGGATGAGAAGGAGCAAAAGTCCTTGCATCCGTGCCAAAGCATCTTCAAAGATTCTCTTTGTAGTTATGCCTTTAAAAGCTTACCCCACAGAGGAGATACAACTCATCTCTCTACCTTGCTATAATGGGGATGGAGATGAGTTCCAAACATGTTTGTATTATGCCAATTAAACCTTGCTTATTACGATCTGGGCCTCTCTGGTGGTCTCTCTCTGGGGGTCGTGATCTGGGCACAACATGGAGGGCACTGCCATCAGTTCTTTAAAGGTCTGGAGAGCACATCAATGAGCCATTCGTGAGCAGTGCATGATGCACATGCATGAAAATATTATCCTGGATGTCATAACAATGTATACACTAACTGAAAAAGAATTTTAAGAATGGGACTGTCTGCTGCAGTAATCCCAGGGTACACCACTGGAAATCATCATGACATTTTGCAGTAGTCCCAGGGTGCACCACGGGAAACTACAATGATGTCTGCTGCAGTAGTCCTGAAGCAGACCACAGAAACATGCAATGAGCATTACGGAATCCCAGTGTACTCACTCCTCTATGCAGTCCCTGAGATATAGCCAGTGGACTATGGCTACCGAGATAAGACAACTTTAAAGTGTAATTTAAAATTAAAAAAATGAGCTGCCATAGATTATTACCAGGAATTGTATATTAGGAGACCTTTTTAGCAGCTATTTTATCTAGCCAATTGCTGAAACATAATTTCTTGCAGTTACCTTGTGCTGTTGGTAGAGCAATTTCTGCACACAATCTTCCTGCATCAGGTGAAAAGCTGTTTTACACAAGTGGTCCATGAGGAAGAGAATGGGTTGTTCTCGGTACCACAGATGCTGGCTTATGAGAGCCTGGACCCAGAACTCTAACACAGCCACAGGACCTACTTCATTAGGCTGCATGCTCACACATATGTGTGCCTGTGAAGAAGTTCAGGTGATGTGGAAGATTAACAATCTCCCTTCCTCCCTCCCTCTCTCCTTCCCTCCCTCCCATTGTTAGAACACATGCAAATGCTATCTACTTCCACAAAAGGCCAACTCTAACAGCCTTCCTGTACAAGAGACTGGAACACCCATATCATAAGAGCTAACACCACAAGTTCTGTGGGAAGAGGAAGAGCCTATTAAGGGATTTGTTAATAGGACAAACAATGACCTGACCTGGATCATGCTGTTAAGAAGCTTCACGTTGTCCCCGTGGCTGGTTCCTGTCAGATGCTGTGCCACCTTGTGGGTGACCTGCTGCGTGACCCCCTGAGGAACACCACTGTCCAAGTGTAGGAAGAGGAGAAGGTTCGACATAAACCTGAAGAGAGCAAAGGATCACACCCTTTACCTTCCCATCAGGCAGAATTGCAGGTAGTCCTGTGTGGGGTTTTGTTGGTTAGCTTTGCTGTTTGAGACACGTTCTCATGGAGCCCAGCCTCTAACTTGTAGACGTTGCTGAAACTGCCCTTGAACACCAAACCTCCCGAAATGCTGGAATTACAGACAGGCACCACCGTAGCAGATTTTGGGCAATGAGTAGGTGGTGTTTAGGGAGGGAGCAAGAGCTATAAGCATGCTAGACAAGTGCTCTACCACTGAGTTATATGGCCAGAGCGCTTTTCTTTTTCTTTTTTTTTTAAAGCTGAGCCATTCTTTATATATACAGTGTTCTGCCTGTGAGCCAGAAGAGAGCACCAGATCTCACTATAGGTGGTTGTGAGACACCATGTGTTTGCTGGGAATTGAACTCAGGACCTCTGGAAGAGCAGTCAGTGATCTTAACCTCCAAGCCATCTCTCCAGTGCATACTACACACACACACACACACACACACACACACACACACACACACACACACTCCAGAGCTCTTTTCATTAACAGCAGATAATTACTTATGAAGAAACAGAAAAATGTTAAATTGGTTCCATTTCCACCATGTTTTTTAGGGATTCTGATAAACCTCTCATAATAATAACACTAGAATCATTAATCTAAACAATGTTCATTAACCATATTGTAAACAGGAGTGCAGAAGTTTTCTGTCTTTAAAAAAAAATAGCCAGGTGGTAGTAGTATACACCTTTAACCCCAGCACTCAGGAGGCAGAGGCAGGTGGATCTCTGAGTTCAAGCCCAGCCTGGTCTACAGAGTGAGTTCCAGGATAGGCTCCAAAGCTACAGAAACCCTGTTTTGAAAAACAAACAAACAAATAAATAAATAAAACAATCAAACAAAAAATCACTATTAGGAGACAGAGAGATTGCTCAGCAGTTAAGAGCATGTACTACTCTTACAAAGGAGACAAGTATTATTCCCAGCATCCACATCAGGTGTCTTACAGCCAGCTCCAAGGAATCTCTGACACCCTCTTTTAGCCTCTGTTCCTCTGTATGCATGTGCCCATACTGCCACACAAACTCACAAAGTACATAAAATTAACAATAAAAATAAATCTTAAAAAAAAAGACAGACTTTAAAAAGCAGCAAAATGAGAAAAATACAAAATATAGTTCAAATGTACTGGAAAATAAAATATGTACTTCTATAAACCGAGGAAAACAAAACAAAACATGACCAACCAATCAACCAATAAAATGAAATTATCATTCCCTCTTAATTTACTCTAGAAACCAGAAAACATCATTTCTACTTGCTGGGATATTTCTGTCAGCACAGTATACTCACTGCTCATTCTTCAGGAGGTAATACTGGCAAGGGTAGAACATGGGTAGAATCTTATCCAGAACATGGACCACTGCTCTCAAATGCCTTGATTGGACCAGAATTCCCAACAGAGGGATTCCTTCAGCACATAACTTCTCGATGCTACAGACAAAGAAAGGGGAATGCGAGTACTCAATGGCTCATTCGTAAGACTGTATTCCTCCAATGAAATACAAGCCTACAAGACCCAGATCCTCTCAGCTCTCTAATTTTTTATGACTAACCTACACACAGAATCACTACAATCATAACTTAGAAAGAAATACAAAGAGTTCTTAAAAATCTCATCTACATTTTCATCTCATTAGATGAGTAATTTGAAAACACTGCCCAAATTTACACGATATCCCAGGAACAAGATAAGAACCCACAGTTGGCCTGACTTAAGGTCCCAGAAGCTACTGCGGCCAAGGGGAGATTGTAAAGCAAACTCAGTCTTTCAGCTTAAACTGCAATGTGTGAAATACATTTTCTTTTCCTTTGAAATAATTTCAAAGGAATTGTATATATATATATATATATATATATATATATATATATATATACATACACACACACACACACATATAATTTTTCTTTCTTTTCAGAGGATATGTATCTGAAGTATTGACAGAATAAAGGGCTGGCCACTTCAGGCCTGTGTCCAGCTCCAGGGATCCAGAGACTCTGGCCTACACAGGTAGCCACACAAATTGTGGCATACACATACATATATGTATTTCTTAATTATATAAATCTTAAGAAATATCTTTTAAAAGCAGTGTTTTAGCATGACCATGACCCTGGGTGACTTTCTGACTATTATTCCCTGTATTTATTATAAGGTTATATTTGTGTCCATCTAAGTCTCTGTCTATTCTACACCCAAGAACCAGCCCAACTATTCTAGGTTACTTCTCTTCCATTCACAGACTGTAGCTATGGAACAAATTCCAAAGGGAAACACTTCTTCTCTCTTTCACGCCCATCAGTGGTCAGTATGTACAAAAAGAACCCAGCAATGACTAAGAACTACAGTGCCAGAATGGATACAGCATCCGGGGAAATCATAAAACAAATTTAAAAACTATAATCATTGAATCAACAGACCAGACACTGTTCTGAGAATGCAATGAGCATTGTGACGAACTCACACTTCGTAAAACCAGTCAGTACAATCATTTCCATCTCAGGGGTGAGGAACCTGGGGTCTAAGAAACTACCGTGGCACTAGAGCTCTGGGAACAATGCAATGAGTGCAATCCTAAATCCTAAATAACTGCCCCCCTTCTCTAGAACAATTCTAGATCAAGCGCACTCTCACCTACTTTCACACTTGTCCGACTACACGGCCTTCCCTTCGGCCCCAGTTAAGGGTATCTCCTTATTTTCCTTATCTCACCTTCTCCCTATCAAGTAGGTGCACCTACAAGTTCTGTAGACACACAAAGAAATATGAAAAGTCCCTACCTTCTACAAGGAAGCTTTAGATGTGTTTAAACTATGTATTTGTTTTGGCAAATAATCAGGAATAAATTTGGGCATTATTTCTCCTTTTATAACAAGACTCATCATTTGATCCTAATTAACACCCTATGGGTTTAATGAAGGTCTCATGATTGGGATGTAAAAACATGAGCTTCTAGAACTCCTACCATCAGAGTACCCTGCAGGTTCAACATACAGTACCTGTGGCCAACAGCTGTCGCAGCTAAGGCAAGATAGCAGCCAATGGGCATGCCTGATTTCACAGCCTTCAAGAGAGGATGAAACACAGATGACTCTGTCATGTCAGGTACCGCGCTGGAGAAGGGAACAACTGGACAATTCTGCTGTGTTCTAAAATCATTTTTGTGTAATTTTAACCTCAAGATCAAATTCCAGGCCCACTGGTTAAATGAGGTCTCAGGAGTCTCTCCATATCGAACAATACTGGCCAGATAGGAAACCTATGAAAATCATTCATTTTAAACAATGTTCGTCATATACAAATTAAACAGCAACTTAATTTCCCCCCTCTGCTGTGATCAGCAGGGCCCTGAGAAGAGAAGGCACTGTCTTCTTCCCTTCAGCGGATCACAACTCCCCACTCCACTGACAAGCTTTAAGAACCTGATCTCAGCTCAACACTGCAGTTCTGGTAAACACATCCAACAACTCAGAGTTAGGGGCCTCGCGGATAGCATTTACAATTTAGTAGTATAAAAAGCAATATCAAGACACCAACAATTCTATCAACCTGCAAAGGCTTAAAAAATGTCACTCACTTCTCCTGAGTTTTACGTGTGAGCTCCAGCACAACCCAATAGCTCAATCCAAATTCTCAAAGACAAATGATCACAAAAAGATTAATTTTGTCATGTGTGGTGGGACAGGTCTTTAATACCAGAATTTGAGAGGCAGAGCCAGACAGATCTTTCTGAGTTTGAAACCAGTCTGGTCTATATAATGAGTTTCAGGATAGTAGGGGCTACATAGTGAGACCCTATCTCAAAAATAAAGGACAACTTTTTAAGAAAAAAAATCTTTAAAAACTATAAAAATTAAATTTAGTATCTTGAATTAGCATAAAGTTTTTAGAAAACATAAAAATCAGAACTATAATTTCATCTTCCTAGGCAATTTTTAAGGAAGCCTTTATGTTGGCAGTACCTGTTTCATACTCTCAGAAATAAGCCCCGTGTAGGGCTTCTGTGACAGGTGCTTCTGAAAAGCCTCCAGGACCAGCAAGGCGACTTCAGTGTGCAGAACTTGATCCAGATGAAGTGCGCCCTTTGAAGCAAAGTTACAAATATACCATTCTATATTTAATAACAGTCCTTTAGAGAACAACAGCAAAAGCAGAACAACAAAACAGGACATTGGAGCCAGAAGATAAATGTTTCAAAAACTGTATCTCTCTAAAGTGCAACTATAAAATGACACCAGAGGAAGGACCCTCAACTCTAAAGAACAAGTACACTGCACCAAGGCTTGCCTGAAACTGTCACCCCCAAGACCCCCACCGCATCCTAGATTATAGGTTAAGAACCTTACCACCTATCAAAGAAATGCTTATCATCAACCACACAAGAAAATATTGAACATATCAAGTACATTCCTGATTGCTGTTTCAGCATCGGTGAAAACACCATACTCAGAAGTATGGGTAAATACTGCCTTACAAGCCAGGCGATAGTGGTGCAAGCCTTTAATCCCAGTACTCAGGAGGCAGAGGCAGGTGGATCTCTGTGAGTTCAAGGCTAGGTTGATCTACAAGAGCTAGTTCTGGACAGGCTCCAAAGCTACAGAGAAATCCTGTCTCAAAAAAAAAAAAAATTGCCTTACAAGTCCAGAGTTACCTATAATATTCCCAAAGAGTCTTTGGTAAGTTTCAAAAGCCCATTCCGAAGCCCTTTCACGGCGGCTGACCCATGGCTCTAACAAAGGAGGGAGGAGAAACTCAGAGGGATCTGGATGAAAACATCTGGGAAATGGAAGGCCTATAAGATGTTCCAGTATTCTCCATGGATCCACCAGTGTTCACCTGTCCGGTGCTCAGGTCACAGGCCTCCGCTACCCTACCCAGCTTTTCCGTGGTTGCTGGAGACAGAACTTGGGTCCTCGTGCCTGTGCAAGCACTTTACCAACTGAGTCAACTTCCCTCCAATGGGATATGTTTTTAATGTAGAATACCTTCATTAGAAGACGTTCACGACACAAAACAGAGCTGAAGAAAGAGTACTTTGGGGGATGTAGCTCAGTGGTGGAGTGCCTTCAGGCATGTTCAAAGTCCTAGGTCCAATCCCCAGAGGAAGAAAGGGAAGATGAGGAGAGCTGAAATTCTACACAGCTGAAAGGATTTGCAGGCCTAGCAAGTGGCACAAAGAGATACTAATGCTTAAAGAAATGCTTTCCTGAAACTGATGCATGCAAAATCTCCTGTTTCTCAGGAAGGGCATACCTGTTCAGCAAATCCCCAGTTCAGTCCTTCTAGGATCACACAGGCCAACTTGTTCTTGACAGCTGTCAGACTGGAATTCAATAGCCAATCCCGAATCACAGCTACCTCAGAGGCAGAAGGCTTCCAGAGATACAACGGCAATTCTTTAAACAAGTATAAGGAAACCTTTTTAAAAAGAAAAGAATAATTAAGTGGAAGACTCAGGAACAGCCAGGTGGTGGTGACACACACCTTTAATCCCAGCACTCAGGAGGCAGAGCCAGGTGAATCTCTGAGTTCTAGGCCAGCCTGGTCTACAATGTGAGTTCCAGGACAGCTAGGGCTACACAGAGAAACCCTGTCTCGGGGGAAAAAAAAATACTCAGAAACAATATTATATTACCCAAAGCATTATCAAATTGCTTGTAAATTTTCCTTGGAAAGGATGTGGAGGTGAATTTGATTTTGAGACAAGTAAAACTAAAATCATGGACAAAGAAATAAAATAAAATGCATTTTTAGGTTTTTTTTGGGGGGGGGTTGTTTGTTTGGTTAGTTGGTTGGGTTTTTTGTTTGTTTTTTTTTTTTCCAGACAGGGTTTCTCTGTAGCTTTGAGGCCTGTCCCGGAACTAGCTCTTGTAGACCAGGCTGACTTTGAACTCACAGAGATCCTCCTGCCTCTGCCTCCTGAATGCCAGGATTAAAGGCCTGTGCCACCACTACCCAGCTTAAATGCATTTTTAAACTAATGATATACCTGAAACACAGGCAATTCTTTGCAAAGGTCAGATTTTCTTAGTATGTAATTGGTATGTTTTCATCCAGGTAAACCACCATACTAAAACACAAATTTATTTATTTGTTTGTTTGTTTTTGGTTTTACGAGTTAGGGTTTCTCTGTAGCTTTGGGGGCCTGTCCCGAAACTAACTCTTGTAGACCAGGCTGGCCTTGAACTCACAGAGATTCACCTGCCCGAGAACTGGGATTAAAGGCATGCGCCACCACAGCCTGGCCAAAACACAATTTTAAAGTGATGATAAATCAGGAAAAAGTCACTGAGTTTTTAAAGCATTTTTCTTCTCTACAGTGGCATCTAAAGATACTTCTAATTGCTGAAACTCAATCTGTTGAGACAGAAAGAGGTCAGTGTGAAGACAGATGAAATCAGATCAAGAGTGGGTATCTTCTGAACCTGAATTCTGGGTTCACTATGAAATTCTATTTAACATATCTATCTATCCATCTATCTATCTCTCACTGTCTTTCTGTGTGTGTGTGTGTGTGTGTGTGTGTGTGTGTGTGTGTGTGCGTGCGTGCGTCCCCTAGTCCTACGTGTAGCTGAGAACAGGCTTGGGTGAGGTGGATGGGGACCCGGGGACAAATCTGTGGAGTTGGTTCTCTTCTTTTACCATTATGTGGGTTTTAGAGGTGACATCGGCCATAAAGCTCGCAGATCAAGCACTTTATAAGCTAAGTCATCTTGAAAACCCTCTACTTTACACATATTTGAAATATTCTATAGAATATATAGAATATATAAACCCATATATATAAAATGGGTTTTAAAACCTGTGCTGGGCAGTAGTGGCACACGCCTTTAATCCCAGCACTTGGGTGGCAGAAGCAGGTGGATCTCTGTGAGTCTGAAACCAGTCTAGTCTACAAGAGCTAGTTCCAGGACAGTTACACAGAGAAACCCAGTCTCAAAAAAACCATAATTAACTAAGTTAAATAAATAAAACCTGTTTGCACAAAAAAGTCTACAACACTACTTTTTAAATCACCTGTATGCACAAATTATGAAAATGCAGGTTTACTTAATGAAATTTCCTTTAAGGGGGAACAGAAGAATAATTAACTTTATGATGTCACTTTTGTTTTATGGATTTTTTTGAGTCAAGGTCTTACTCAATATCCCGGGCTAACCTGTAACAATATGTAGCCTAGGCTAGCTTAGAACTAACTGTGATTCTCCTGTCTCAGCCTCCAAAGTCCTAGACTTACAGGCAGGAGACACTGTGACACTGTTCAGCTGACTCCTTTTATAATGTTTTAATAGGGCTGGCCAATGAAAACGCAATGCAAGTACTATATGAAGTTCTGATTTTACTAACAGCTACAACTTAAACTTCAAAAATGAAAAATTAATTTTAATAACATTGCTTCATATTATAATATGAAATGTTATAAAATATTAAACATATCTTCAAAATTCAGTAATTTACACAAAAAGTACATTCTAATTAGAGACTGCACCCAAATCAATACATTATGGTCATCTGTAGCCATATTATCAGACATTACAGGTTTAGAATTTTCAGACTTTTGTGCTGTTCCAAATTGTGGCCAGAACAAAATCTAAGAAAGACTAGCAGGAATGGATTTTATTGGTGTGATGCTAATCTTGATTGTCAACTTGACTACATCTGGATTCAACTGAAACAGATACAGCTGGGCTGCTTCATTAATTCAGAAGTCTGTATTTGTTTGTTTGTTTATGTTTTTCAGGACAGAGTTTCTCTGTACAACAGCCCTGGCTGTCCTGGAACTTGCTTTGTAGGCCAGGCTGCCCTCACCCACATCTGCCTACGAGTGCTGGAATTAAAAGCATGTGCCACCATCCCAGCTACTTCAGGATTCTTTCAAAAGAACAGTCAGCATTCTTACCATTCCAACTTGGTCAATGGTTTCTTGAACTTTATCCAAAAGGACAGAAATAGTCTCAGGGTGAATAGCTGTGATGGCCCCCAAAAGCTCACGACCAACCTTTGAAAAAGTTTCTCTGGTGGACAAGGTGACATAAGATACCTAAATTAGAGATGGGGGAAGAAATGGCACTTTTAATGCTAATTACCAAACAAAACACATTTTCAAAAACAAAAATTTTCCCCACAAACATAATCTCACATTGAGACTCAGCTGACACTGTTGGGGGAGGCTGCTCATTCATTCCCGGTTGCCTAGACTTGAAATAATCACTCAGAAACTATATTATTTGCAGTACTGTTTGGTCAATAGCTTAAGCGTATTGCTAGCTAGCTCTTACATCTTAAATTAACCCATTTCTATTATTTTATATTTTACCATGAGGTTTGTGGCCTACAGGCAAGGTTCCACCTAGCAGCTCAGTCTTTCTCCTCTAGCGGCTACTCTCTCCTTCTCTATCTGCTTGGAATCCCCACCTTGCCCTATTCTGCTAAGCCACTGGCCGAAATAGCTTTATTCATTAACCAATAAAAGCAACACAGAGACAGAAGGACCTCCCATACCATGACACCATGGGCAAAACTATGTTATAACTTGAGATAGCAAACTCCCAACGATGAGCCTGGAAGGTGGTAGGGAGAGAGAACAGAAAATGGCAATGGCCCAAGTATTTAGAGTCATGAGTTCAAGGGCTGGGCTCAGAGTGTATCCCAGCAATGCACAGTGGGCAGGAGCCTGAAGTCATGGACCAGGAGAATCATTTGAGTCCATGATATGGAGGCCTTTGGTCAACATAGTAAGATCTCATCTCAAAAAGAAATTTCTCATTCACATGAAACAAATGAGTATCTAAACATTCATTTGAGGAAACCACTAAAATGATTGTTTTCTTTTTTTGGTTTCTTTGTGTATCTCTGGCTGTCCTGACTCGCTCTGGAGACCAGGCTGGCCTCGAACTCACAGAGATTTGCCTGCCTCTGCCTCCCAAATACTGGGATTAAAGCATGTACAACCATGCCCAGCCTAAAATGATTTTTTTGAAAATACATGTCATAGAAATACATAATCCATTCTACAAAATAAAACCCTAAGTGTAAAGTTCCTAAACCTTCAATGTGTACAGGACTGTCCTAAAAAACAAACAACAGCTATCTTCCGGAGTTCACTAGGCCTGCCTACAAATGACTATCCCAGCTGGGCTTGCTGGAGGAGGAGAGGGAAGAGATTTATTGGACATCTCCCCACCCCGAGAATCCAGCCGTTTCTATGCAGTTTTGTCCTAACTGCTCAAGAGCCCAGAACCTGGGATCTCAGGGAGGTCCTTGCAATCCTTGCACTTCTCCTCTAGCTGAGAAGGGCCGATTAGCACTAAGAAACACAAGGATCTTCCCTCAGCCTGTCATTGTGTAATGGGGAAAATTAAGGCAGGTTGGCAAGTTACCTTTTCCGTTTAAGATGGACAACTAATAGCAGAGCTAAACCAAAACTTGTCTTCCAGGTTCAATGTTTGTTCTATGATCTCATTTAAAGTGACCTGGAAGTCCTGCCTCCGTGTTACTGACAGAAGCAGAGGAGTGACGTTTGGTGTGTGGCTATAGTAATAAGAGCTGCAATGCCAGGCAGTGGTAGACTGTCTATTTCTTTCCAAAAGTCTTCATCAAATGCCAAAAGATAGTAGTGGGAAACGGAATAATAAATTATAAGTTTCAAAGTTCCCTACAGACAAAGATGTTCTTTTGATTTTCCATCCCATCCGTAAGCACAGGCAACAGCTCATAAATCACATTTTTGAAAACAATACCCAAAGAATGAATGGACAGTCAGAAGAAAGCATTCAAAACTTCACATTCTAACCTCATATATCTCCAGAACAATAATTTTGATGAAGTCTTCATCTACATTGGTTCTTCTGGCCCGAGCCATCTGAGCAAAGGTCGTCAGAAGGCAAATCTCTTCTGAGCTATTCATGGAAGAAAGACACTTCTCCAAGTTCGCAAAATGTTCTGGGTCTGCAAGTTAATAGAAAAAAAGTGACTAAATGGGCTCAAATATTTAGTTACACTACCAGAAAGCAAGACAACATAAAAATTAATTAATATTCACAAATATTTAAAGATAAAAATGGTCTTCCCCTTTCCAAGATGGAATCCTACAGGTTCAGAAAGAAAGCTGAATCAGCTGAACTCTGAGAGTCCAAAAAATTCAGTATAATGTAGACTCAGCAAAAAAATATTAACATGAAACTATGCCTCAACTCCGAGAAACGACTGTAAAAGAACTGGACGAGGCAGAGAACGTGGACCAAATCTGGAGGCTAACCCTAAAGATCAAACACCTATCACTGCAAAGCACGACTGCGGCCACCAGGTGTCACTGTCACCCAACTGTCAGCTTCACCGCACCTGCAAATCCACTGGGTGGCCAGCAACCGCTCAGCATGAGCATGGCACTCCAAACAAAAAGCAAAGACTGACTAAGGACAGGAAACTGGCTGTAGCAGACAGTATATAATCCACCCTGCCCCATTCTCAGAGGACACTATGTAAGCAATACTATACGATGTCACTAGAGACAGGTTTGATAACTCTGTAATACATGTAGAAACAAGATGTGGGAAGCAAAATATATGGCCAAAAAAGACCATATTCATGAGATATATCGCAGCCTGGGGATAGAAAGTCCTTGGGATGGAAAATGGCTTTACAAAGGAAATCTAGGAAGGACTAACCTGTATCAGACATCCTGCTAATCACCCAGGCCCCTTAAAGGGCTGTCTGTCTCATCTGTGTTTATTACTTCACCCACAGAACCAGCAGTCAGGCAACAGGCCGTGAAACACACACATTCAACTATGAAAACAGTAATGGAAGCACTTCCCCAGGAGAGTGCAGAAGCAGTTTATGAAGCAGAGAAATAAAACAAAAACAAAACTCAAAACAGGAAGACACATAAACAAAAAAAAAGATTTGTGTAGAACATACACAGAAAGAGTATGAAAACAGAGAAAACTGAAGAAAAAATAATGAATGTCTGCAAAAAATGCATTTTTTTTTTTAGTTTTATAAGGTATGGCTTTCTCCTCTTCCTTCCTTTCTTCCTTCCTTCTTTCTTTTTCTTTTTTTGAGACAGGGTCTATCTACATAACACTGGCTGTCCTGGAACTCACTCAGGATGGCATTGAACTCACAGAGATCTGCCTGCTTCTGCCCCGAGTGCTGGGAATAAAGGCATATTTTCTTTTAAGCAATGTAGAGGTTTAGAAATTTAGAAAAAGATGTTGATAAGTCTTTAATTCTGTTAGTATTTTATTTTGTTTTCTTTAATATTAAGAGTAATGATAAGTATCTTCGTATTAACTAGGTTATCTGCTTTTTATTCTTTTTGTTTGTTTATTTGTTGTTTTTGTTCTTATAAAACAGGGTCTCTCTACATAGTCCTGGTTAACCTGGACTATGCAGACCAAACTGGCCTTGAACCAGAGGTTTATCTCCCTGCCACCCAAGTGATGGGATTGAAGGTGTGGACTATCATGCCTGGCTCATACTCTTTCTTTTTTTAAGATTCATTTATTTTTATTTTACATGTATGGGTTGTCTTGCCTGCATGTATATTGGTGTAATACATATGTGCAGTTCCAGAGACCAGAAGATGGTGTCAGATCCCCTGAAACCAGCCCTATAGGTTCTGGAAATCAAACCGGTACTACGCAAGAATATTTTTAACATTATAACACAAATACCCAGCAGTACAATGTTAGTATGTATTAAAACATAATCAAATCTTCACTAAAATTAAACTTTGTTGTTTTGGTATCAGGGATTTATTTTGTTGCTAGGGATTAAACCTAGAACCTTATACATACAAAGGACACACACAGTCTACCACTGCGCTACAAAGTTAAGTTTTTGAAGAATTACTGTCTACCTCCCACCCACTTCATAAAATCTAGACAACTTAAGAAAAATAAAACAGAAAAAATTAGTAGAAAACTGGACACAGACCTTAACAAATTTCAAGCCAATTAACTTCACTTGTTGACCAAACTAGAATTTTATGCAAGGAAAAGAATCATTCATCAAAGTTAGGCCATTGTGCTTACCGCACAGAATCTAGATCTAATTGACTTATATTTGAGATATGCCACCTTCTACCTAACACATCGAGACAAAGAGGCAGTCTCCTGAATGCCAGAATCATGCCACGGAGCAAATACGTGCAAGGAGAGAAGCCTGCCCCGTCAAGTACCTTGGAGTTGCCTCTTGCACTCGGCCGGCTGCAGGGAGGCACAGAGGTGCTGCAGGTTCCCACTCTCAGCCTGGTGCATGAGGTAGAAGAGTTTCCAAAGCATCGGGACTGACAGTGTGCCAAAGGGCATCTCAGACATAAACAGCCAAATGCCAAGTCTGCACATTTTAAAAGGCGACAGGAAAAATTTTATATATTAGAAAGTTTCACCACACTAAAAAGTGGAAACAAGATTTTCGCCTTCACATTACCACAACTTTCCCAACACACACACATGAGGGAGGGGCAGGTATCCTTTATTGTAAATGCTTTGTGCCAAAAGTATTTGAAATTTTTGGAATATTTTGAAATATATTTACACATATATAATAGCATGTACCACAGAGGAGACTGAAATATAAACATGAAAGCCTGCTACATGATTCACAACAGCCAAGATATGGAACTAGATGCCCACTAACAGATGAATGGATAAAAAACATATGGACATATACGTAATGCTATTTTATTCATTGGAGAAAACAAGCAGACCCAGTCAGAGGAGGAAGACAGCAGAAAGGTAAAGGGGCAGATGTGAGCAGATACAATAATGGATCTGGATGTCTGTGTGCACTCTGTACACACAGCTTTAATGATAATTTTATACAGTATTTTTTACTGTGCATGTATTTACTTTGGCACAGTGCATGAGGTCAAATGTGGAAACACTTATGACATAATATCAGCTCTAGAAGTTTCTAATTCTTGACCTTTCTGTGCTAGAGATATCTGCATACATCATCAACTTGTTCCATACTTACAAAAACAAAGGCAGTATTATTATCACAAACTTACACGTGAAACCTCTCAGACACACGCAGAACATTAATAAAAGTAATGGGTTTTGAATCAGAGATCCTTTTTAAGGCCCCAATGAGAGAGAGGCTGTCTTAGTTAGGGCTACTATTGCTATGATCAAACACCATGACCAAAGAAAGTTAGGAAGGAAAGGGTTTATTTGCTTACACTTTGCTTACACTTTGTGTTGGTTTGAATAGGTATGGCACCCACAGACTCATGTGCTTGAATGTTTCGCCAATAGGGAAATATAACAGACTATATCTCTAAAACTGTAAGCCATCCCCAGTTAAATGTTTTCTTTCATAAGAGTTGCCATGGTCATGGTGTCTCTTCACAGTAATAGAAATCCCAATTAAGAAACACTCTACATTCCCAGACAGGAAGCCCTTACCTCTTACCTTTTGGCTTTCAAGACATGTAGGACAGCTCTGAGAAACAGTTCATCAAATTCAATCTGCAGTTTCTCCATGGAGTAGGGCTGCAGCGCTAATCCCATGCATGTGCTATGACTCACATACTGTGCCCAGTGGTCACTGACGTAGCCAAGGGTCATCCTGAGCGTGAGGAAAACAGCACAGCACTTTTCAGGCACTCACCCGTTGTCACCTGGCATTGCATGTGAAGGACTAACATTAACTAAGCACCTACTATCTGCTCAGTCCTGAAAGCAATCTTCACAGGGACAGTGAAAACCAACCCTTCAGAGCTCAGCAGGATGCATAAGAACAATGGTAAATAAAAAGCTGTTACTGACGTTTCATGTCAGGCTGCATACACAGCTATCCTCAGCTACATGTGGGCTTCAGGGCACAGGACAGATACACATGCTAGAACCTCACCCTTCTAAGGGACCCCAGCCTTTGAGGGCATCCTATAATCTTCATAAAGCTGACTGAAATCTAAAATAAATGAATGTAAATCAATTCAGTTTGGAGAAGAAAAGTGGGGAAAGGGAGAGATTTTGCATTTTTATGAACTTCTTTTTGAGGGAAGAGGTTGGAAAAAAAGAACAGTCTATATATGTGCTATAGGGAATAATCTAGAAAAAAAACCCTGAAGATGTAGAAAAGAAAATGAAGCTGATTTACAGAAAAGCAATACATAAACTCAAAAACATTTCAAACACTTGCAAATAAAACAATAAGCCCATCTTTCATTCAAGTGCATGTTCTCCCAGTTCAAATACAGTATGACTTATTTAAGTCCTTGGAAGTTTTTTAAATATTTAAACTACAATAAGAAATGAAAGAACAATGTGGGGAATAATGGTAGTGAGGAATTACTGTGAATTCATCACAGCTCAGCCTGTGGCAATCCCAAGGAAAAGCTGGCTGTGGACAGAAAGCGGGAATAAGAGAAAGGGAAAGAAGTGAAGGCCTGTGTGGTGGTGGGAAAGAAAACGGCCCCAAAGGGAAAGGCACTATTAGGAGGTGTGGCCTTGCTGGAGCAGGTGTGTCACTGTGGGGGTGGGCTTTGAGGCTTCTTATATGCTCAAGTCACACCCAGTGTCTCAGTTCACTTCCGGTTGCCTCTCAGCTTCTTCTCCAGCACTATGTCTGCCTGCATGCCACCATGTCCCACCATAATGCTAATGAACGGAACCTCTGAACTGTAAGCCCCCAATTAAATGCTGTCCTTTCTAAAAGTTGCCATGACCATGGGGCCCTCACAGCAGTCAAACACTAAGAGTCCCTGCATCTTTTCTGACCCTTCTCTCCAGCAGCAGTTTTGAAAATCAGAACTCCAATAAATTATATTTTTAAAAAAATCAATTGAATCTGAGATAATTAATCAAATAATTTCACTGGAAACATTTACAAAATCCCCATCTAGCTGATGGAAGGAATACCTCACTTTTATGAGAAGACCTAACTAAGTATGAGCATCCGTCCCTCTGCAGGTCTGTGTCGAAGTAAGGAGACAGTGGCAGGATGTGTCAACAGCAACATTACCTGATCAGGTATCCAATGCGCTTCACAAACTGCCTATAGCGGGCTCTGTTAAAGGTTTCTAACCCCACAGCCAGGAGTTCCACTAATGAGTTAGCAAAGGCAAAAATTTTCATCATCTCTTGGGGCCTTGTTGTTTCAGGTAAATAATCACCTAGACGTGAAACAGATAGGAAAATATAATTACTATGACGAAACATTACAGAACACAGTACATAATTCAGTGAGAAAGCCAGGAGGGTTGGGATTAATCCCATCTCTCTGGCTCCAATATCAAAGTGGGATATACAGTAAGAACAATGTATTTAACCTAGGTAACATGTACATTAGCCGGCCTTCTTCATTTAAGCATGAAGTTTAAAAAAAAAAAAAGTTACAAATATAAGAGAAAGAAGGCTTTGCATAGGTGGGCACAGGAAAAACACCCAGGAGCAGCCCACCCAAATGCAAGGCTTGATGCTTCCTATATGGAGCTTGTACCAGTACCACCTTTCAGTTATGACAAGAAAAACTATCTACCTTTTGCTTTAAAGCCAAGAAGATGTTGAAAGAGCTCATGAAAGGGAAACTGGGACAAAAGGACGACCAAGTCATCTTCATTAAGTAGAATCCAACTGGTCTCAGGGTCTTCATCCTAAAGGGAAGATGCCACATCACGTCAGCTACCCAGGCTTGGATTACAGAGACTAAATCCAAGTCACAATGTGGTCCTTAGAGACACCTCCTCAAGAACAGTCTCCTCACTAAACCTCTGTATTTATAAAACTAACTTGCTTCAAGTATATCAAGTAATGCAAAATAGGATAATACCGTGTATATAATGGCTAGCAAGAGTTCTTGACTCCATCTGAACATTAGATCATCCGGTAGGCTCCAGAAAACTGGACCTACGTGTGGGCCTGACAAGCTTCATAAGTCACCCAAGTGAGCCTTAGTGGAGCTCGTGTTGAGAACCAAATGATGTGGAGGAACCACAGGCTTCCCCCACAGACTTTTCGGATCCAACCAAGCTCTTAACAGTCTCAAGTACTAAGTTCTTCTGGGTTGCTTTTGCTTTTGTTTTTCCTTGCTTGCTGCTATTGTTGTTGGGTTTTACTTGTTTCATTAGGGAAGCAGCTTTTATTTTTTGCTGTTGTTGGTCTTTTGGCCTTTATTTTTTGATTTTGGGTTTTTTCCTCTTTGTTTTTGTTTTTGGTGGGTGAGTGTCTTGCAATCTAGCCTCGTCTGTCCTACATATCAAGATCCTCCTTCCTCTCCCCATGAAGTGCTGAAATTAAAGGCATACACCATGATGCCTAACTCCCTAAGTTCTTGAATTCACTCCTTTCAGTGAGTGCTAACCAAGAAGCAAGCACCACTGTAGAATCTTCTCTGGGGTTATCTTCAGGGAACCCATCAAAATTAAAAAGATTTTAAAAAAAAAAGCTATTTTAAAGAAAGACCACGTTAGGGAAAAGCAAAGAATGAACAAACAAAAAACATTGTTTCGTTACAGTCTTCCAAAGAGAATTTATATTAGCTCCCGAGAAACTCAGTTTTCCCACAAGTGTTTGCATGCCCACATCACTTCCCACCACCTGCCCACCGGCTACAAGCCATCAGAAGGGACAAAGAACAAGACAAGCACTCGTCCCTGAATGGGCCCTGGTGCAATTCATCAACACGCCCCCCACAGCAGCATGAGGGTCACTTTGGGGACTGCTGTCCAGTTTCTACTCCTCAGACAAAGGATTTTAGTGAGCATCTTAGAACATAAAATCAGGGTTTGAGACAGATTACATCTGATGGCAAGGGCCTTTACCTGCTGAGGCTCTGTGCTGGCCAAATCAGGGACTCAGCCAGAAACAGGCCCAGGAACTTCTAATGAGCAGAAGAAAAATTCCTTAAATATACACCACTAAAGATGGGCAGAGGTGGTGCACATCTTTAATTCCAGCACTTGGAAGACAGAGGCAGGAGGATCTCTATGAGTTCGAGACCAGCCTTGTCTACAAAAGCTAGTTCCAGTACAGACTCCAAAACTACAGAGAAGCCCTGTCTCAAAATAAATAAATAAATAAATAAATAAATATGCCTCTAATCACTGTGGAGGAAAGAAAAATTAACAAGAGTTATCTTAAAACTTTTTTAAAATTGTCTTGAGAAGCTAGATTTTTTATTCATTAGATTTTCATCAAAATTACTCAGAGAAGCTCATCTGTGAGATCCTAGTCCCAGGAACCTGTTACTGTGCAAAATAAAACCTTCATGTACATTTCACAAAGTCACTCTACTCCGTTTTCCAGTTCCAGCTTCTGCCATCTGAACACATCTACAAAGGACATCAGGGTGGGCTACTGGCTCGGAACGTGCTCTAGAGGTTTTACATTTAATGACCACATGACCTGAAACAAGTTACCTTCCTTTACACATCTGTTGTCCCTATCTATAAAAGAGGGTCTCAACATTACTCCCCTCGTAGGGTCACCGGGACAATCGAGATTTACAAGAAAGCGCTTAGAACAATGTTTTGCATGTAAGCAGAGCTCAAAATTGATTAAAGGGAACACTGCAGACACAAGTTACCTCTTCTCCTCCTTCATCTACGAGCGTCCAGTTCCCAGATGCAGGTCCTGAAGATGATGGCTTCCACTCACTGGGCTTCATGTGACACATAAACTCTGCTCGATTTCTAAAAAACAGACAGGAATCTGACCATATGGACATAGAAAGTCTGATACGAGCACGTTTGGATCACCTAGGCTAAAGAAGAGTCAGGAATCAGCCCAGCCGTCAAATGGTGTAAATGATCAAAAAAGAAGTAAGAACCAAGGCCAGGAGTAACACTGCTTAGAAGGCAGAGGCAGGCAGATCTCCCTGAGTTCAAGGTCAGCCTGGGATTGATGACAAGTTCTAGATCTGGTCTACACGGTAAAGAGCACTTGCTGTCCCTGCACAAGCTAGCACTCACATCAGGCAGCTCACAACTACCTGCAACTCCAGCTTCATGGCATCCAGAGCCCTCTTTTGGCCTCCATGGGCACCCACACTCACACATGCTGTATATGTGTGTATCCTGACACATACAAGTGTCCATGATTAAAAATGCATCTTATCAAAAATAAAAAGGTCTTATGCAGTTGATAGAGAAGCTGTTTGGGGCCAAAAGTCAGACATTACCTCCCTTCTCAGGAGCGGCCTCTGCGTGCAGGCAGTAAAGGATGGAGGCCAGAAAAACAGCAGCAGGACTTTCCAAGCAGCTGTTCCACCTGATGAGCGATTAACCAGAACAGCTTCCTCTCGGACCACATCTGCAGCCCTCTGTGAATAAGTACCCATCCACTTCTCTCTTTAGACAGAAACCTCCTACAGACTCCAGCTCTGAAGTTCAAATATTTCCCTTTCAACAGGGAAAACCGCAGTCCTGAATCCCCGGTGTCCATTTGGTATGTGTCACTTGCATGTTGTCAGGAACTTTTTCTTCTGTATAAAGCAGCCCTCCTTGGGGGCTGAAGAGTTAGCTTAGAGTTTAAGAGTACTGGCTGCTCTTTCTGAGGTCATGAGTTCGATTCCCAGCAAACAAAAGCCATGAGTTCAATTCCCAGCAACCACATGGTGACTCACAACCATCTATAATGAGATATGGTGCCATCTTCTGGTGCATAGGCATACATGCACGCAGGACACTGTATACATAATAAATAAATCTTAAAACAAAACAAAAACAACAACAAAAGAACAGCCCTCCTTTGTACTTCTGCTATGGTCGCCCTCCTGGTCTCTGAGCACAGGTCTAGAGTCAGGAGTGACACAGTCCTTCTCTGCATCCTTTAATCAGCTACTAACTCACTTCCCGGGAAGAGGTGGCTAGTTCCTACATTCTATCTCCTAGTCAACAGGCCCGGAGGCAGGTTAGCTGGTAGTAACAGTGTCAGGGTCACCAACAAGCAGGCTCTGCATCCTCCCGGGATCAAAAACATGCCTGCCCTTTTGCTATGTGGCTGGTTGGGATCCTGAGCCAGGAGAGGCATAAATGTCTGCAGCCATCAATGACGCAATGAAAAAGTACATACTATTCTGTCTCCAGTTCACTGTCTATCCAGAGCAACTCCAGCCCCACACTTTTGGTGTAATCCAAGTTGACCTTGAACTGATGATCCTCCAAACAGTTTCACAAGCTCCGGGGTGCAGTGATAACAGACAGGTGTGTCCCACCACACCTGGCCTAATCTTCCTTGAGTACAAGTTTTGTTCCCTGTTCTAAAACCTCTCACTTGTTCACAGGCCAAGCCACAACAAGTGTAGTTCCTTCAGTTTTAAGGCCTTATATCCTCCAGTCTCCACCCAGTTACTCACTTTGGCTACCTTGACTCAGCTATCTACACCCCAGCCCTCTGCACACCCTGGATCAGGGCCTTTGCTCACACTCTTCTCCCCAGCCCCTCAGCTAATGATATCCAACCCACTCCTCGAAGCTGACTCAACCACTGAGGACATGTCTCTGACTGCTCAACTCTTTACTGCTACACTAACTCCTCGGCAGTCCTCACGGCTCCACAGTTCAACACGTACACCAGATCCACCTCTAGTCTAAGGAACAAACCATCTCTTAGTCTGTGGCACCTTTCACAATGACACACACAATGAGAGAAAAACCCGCTAAAACGGGGAGGACACGAGAAAGGTTAATAAGCAGCTAGATGTACCACTTTGGGACAGGAGTACCAAACCCAAAGAAAATCTGCAGTGTTAAATTCTAGAATGCCAACACTTCCCTTAGCAGGTCTCTCTGGATGAGGGCAGTTAAGAAAACCAACCCTTTGATAGAGTATTCAATTTCTATTTTACAAGGCTCTTCCACACTTACTTGACAGGAGACATCAGCAGGGCAAGGGACTGCATAAAATGAAAGACCCCTGAAGGGTTATTCAACACTTTGATCTGAAATCAGAAAATGAAAAAAAGCATACTGTAGAAAACCAGCTCAAGCTGGTTTACACATATCTAATAATCAAGACGCTAGTCAGAGGACAACGCCAAGCCTGACACCTGCTCCAAAGCACAAGGCACAGCTGGAGCCGTTACCTGCACACTGTCTCAGAGCGAAGGACGAGCATGGGCAGCTGATGTCAAACACCTGCAGCGGCTGGTGGAGCACAGCACAGCTGCTTTAAACCAAGAAAAACAAAACCTCCTCCTCATCATCAGAGTGACTTAGGCTCCACACCACCAGAAATATTAAATAAAATATGAAGGAGTTGAGCTGAATTTGACATACATTTTGGTTCCTGCTATCTGAGTGGTGGCTATGAATAATAAAAATGGCCAAAAGGGGCTTGGCATAGGAAAAACTATAAACTATATGGTCAACTGGTAAGTATATGCAAGCTGCTAACAGACCTAAGATCTCCCTGCTATGCTAGTACCAATTGTACTGTGAGATGGATTAGAGTTGTGGTTATTACTACAGAAAAGACAAACAGTCCTGGTAAGCTGTCCTTCTCCAAACCTTACCAAATTAAATTAATCACTTGTGAACCTACCAAGCCGGGTTGCAGCTGAACTTTTGCAATTCTGTGCTAATCTCCCCACCTGTGATGACCCAGAAAGTGTGATAACCCTATACACATGCACTCCTGGTTTAAAGGCTTTACTGAGGGAACCAGGGAGGTAGCAGATAGCTCAGTGGTTAGGAGTACTCACTGCCCCCCAAGAGACAGAGGGGAGGGTATGGTTTCCCTGCACCCAGATCAGGAAGCTCACAACCACTTTTAAGTCCAGTTACACATCAATGCCATCTAGCCTCTGCAGACACCTACATGGACACTGTGCACATAAGTCCATGCAGACACATAGAGTATACAAGTAATAGAAATATATGTCTTTTACATTTTTATTTAAATAGCACGCGACTAGGTCTTTGGGGGATGGGTTGTTTTAGACATTTCTTAAGGAAAACTAATAAAAATCCCCACCCCCACCCCCAGAATCAGAAGATCATCATACCTGTATAAAAGGAACAGCCCACTTACTGACGCCAGCTGGGCACCGAAGAATGTGGTTGAGAAGGAAGAAGTGATCTCCAGGACAGCCAACTCTTTGTAACACTGACACCTGAACAGGAAAAGACTCGTGTTTTCACTAATTTAATAAACTCATGCACGCAGTAAGCTGGGGGTGCATGCAACCTTTCTAGAGTGCCCAGACATAGGTCTTCTCTGTAAAACACCTCAATTTTCCAAATCCTGACACCTTTCTTCTCATTAAGCATCACTAAGTTTATCATCCAGCATGATTAGGCACATGGTGAGTCAGCAGTCAGTCTTCACCTCCCTCTGTATTTCCTCCTGGAAATGCAGTTCAACTCTGACCTGGAAGCCAGAGCTCATTAGACACACAAAGTAACAAGACAAATAACTTGTAACCTCTGTCATTATCAAAGAAAAATTATTAACTCACTAAATGAATTAACTGGAAAAGCTACAGAATAAAGAAATATGAAACACAAAATAAGAAATTATTCTTAGATTACCCAAGCAATGAAAGACCTTTGCCTGCAGTTGTTCCCTTACCAGCTTCTGCAGCCAGAGAAGGATGTCCTCATGGAACTGGGCGTCCTCACTCACTCTCCTGGTGAACATGAACAAGACGCTGATGCACTCCTTCAGCTGACACACGTCAGAGGGAATGCTGCCTGTCAGTTTAGAGCCTGCAAAAGAGAGAGGCTTAGCTGAGAACTCCTAATGGTACTGGGACTTTCAGCTTCTCCACTTAAAGCAAAGAAACCAAAAAGTGTAAAACATTTAGTTCAGATTAAACCCAAAGAGGCTGTTCACTTCCTGACTGAGGGTGCTTCTGCTGCCATGACCTCCTCCCTTGAGGGACTATGTCCTACTGAACTGAGTCAAAGCAAACACTTCTGTCTCTTGTCAGAAGAGCAGTAATACAAAGAGACATCACCAAGCAGTGGGGCTGCTATAACAAGCACGACATGTGGTCCTTATGCCTTTGGAACTACTGTGCTGGATAAACACAGAAGAATTTAGAGCTATGGGCTGAACAAGTCCTGAGCGGATATAAACAGAACTTGATGGTCCATTCTGCTGAGAGTTTGGAAGACCAGAGTGTTAAAAGAGATACAGACAAAGAGGGCTTGGCTCATGAAGTGTTTTAGAGCTTATGTTAGTTAGGGTTTTCATTGCTGTGAAGAGATGCCATGACCACAACAACTCTTACAAAAGAAAACATTTAACTGAGGTGGCAGCTTACAGTTCAGAGGTTCAGTTCATTATCGTCATGGTTGGGGAGCATGGCAGCATAAAAGCAGACATGGTGCTGGCTACATCTTGAACAGAAGGCAACAGAAAGTGAACTGAGACACTGGGAATAGCTTGACTCAAAGTACACCCCCACAGCGACACACTTCCTCCAAAAAGACCACACCTACTCCAAAAAAGCCTCACCTTTTAATAGTGCCAATGTTTTGGGGGCCATTGTCTTTCAAACCACCACAGAGCTAAGCAAAAACTCTATTGGGAACTGGGACAGAGGTTATCCCTGTGATATCCTGGCAAAGAATCTTGACCATCCTACCCAAAATTACAGACTCATTTGTTTGGAGGAGAATATCTCAAGACAGGCAGTTATTCAAGTTACAGCACGGCTAGTGCTCACTTTTCTTGCCCAGGTCTACAGGGAAGGAGAGCAACAAGGGGAGCAGAAAGACATGTGCAACGTGTGGGTCAGCCAGGAAGGGCGAGTCTAAAGCTGCAGACAGGGCAGTGCTGAAGAAGAGAGGCCTCAGGTCCTGCACTGGGAGGGCAGGACACACCGAGGGCAAGGCCCTAAACACTCCACACTCCAACTTGTGAAAATATGTGTGTATTTAAAAGACGAGCCTAAACTGAGAATGCCCTGAAAGTGTTCCTTCCTGGTCAACAAGCATCAGGCAAGTATATTTGAGAGAAGTGGGTCAGGCTCTATTTCCGGCTAGGGGAACTCAGTGCCACTGTTCACAGTACGTGGAACAGTAAGGTTCCTCAAAGCTGCAGGGTAAGGCTGGACAATATGGGCAAAGTCAAATTCCCTGCAGAGAGGTACTGCGAGGCCATCAAATAAGGCTGAGAACATGAAGCCTAAGTTGCCATGAAGACCTCAGGATGCTGAAGATGCCAGGACCAAGGGACATCCACCAAGGAGAGCAGCAGGCACGGAGCAGATGTGGCCAGTCCAATACAGAGACTACGTGTGCTGTAGGTAGCAGAGTGAGACAAGGAGGGCTACCGGGGATTTTGGGGCGCTGATGATTCAAGCCCCAGATGCCCAGACATGGGCAACAGAATATGATGCTTACCCTACTGGCTCTGTTAGAACAAGGGCCTGTGCCCTCAGGCTAGATTCTACAGCCTGAATCAGACCATGCCTCCCGGTAGTTCTGTGTGAGACAGAGACTTAAGAAGCCATCTGGGCTATGATTTGACAGCTTTCAATTTATGATACCTGGCTCCTCCACACTTTGTCATACTGTACTGAAACTAAGTCACATGATATGAAACTTCCCATCAGTATAAGTGTTACAAAACATCACATTTTTCTTTGTTCTTAGAACTGTTCTGAAGGCTTCTCGAGGTTTTGCATAGAGAAGTGATCTGAAGATACTCCCCTGCCCTCCAACCTGGTGTGGGAGAATTGTCTGTATTCTGTCAATCATATTTTAATAAAATGCTGATTGGCCAGGCAGGCAGTATAGGCGGGAAAGCCAGACAGGAAGTAGAGGTGGAGCAAAGAGACTGGGAGTATTCTGGCAAGCAGGAAGCTCCCTCCGCAGTTCTGCCCAGACCACTGGAGAGGAAACATGTAAGCTGCCCACCTGGAAAAGGTACTGAGCCATTATGGCTAACATAGATAATAATAATGGATTAATATAAGTTACAAGGACTAATAAGAAGCCTGACCTAATGGGCCAATCAGTTTATAACCTAATGTAGACTCTGATTTCTTTGGGACTTGCCGGCTGTGGGGTACCGGGTGGGACAGAAACCCCAAGAAGCCGGCCTGTCATGTTACACCAACCCATCCTTGGCATCGTGGCACATTCATGCTCTTGTGCGCTCTCTCTCTCTCTCTCTCACACACACACACACATATGCATACACACACTCTCTTATTTCTCCCATCTCTCTCTTATTCTCTCTTTTGCCATGGTTTGGTTTGGATTTTTATAGACAGGGTCTCACTATGTAGCCCAGGATGTCTTAGAACTCACTATGTAGACCAGGCTGGCCTAGAACTCACAGAGATCCACCTGCCTCTGCCTCTGCCTCCTGGATGCTGGGATTAAAAGTGTACAGCACTATGCCTGGCTTCATTCTCTCTTAATGAAGGTTGTATCTAGGCTTTCAAGGGATGACTCTCCTTTCCATTAAGCCCTGATCTTGTTTAGATCTCCACATATTACACTGTCTAACACTCTTCCGCCCACCTTGAGGCCAACAATGGCCTCCAGGCCCTTTCTCCTTATGAACTACATTCTCTCTCTCTCTCTCTCTCTCTCTCTCTCTCTCTCTCTCTCTCTCTCTCGTTCTCTCTCTCTCTCTCTCTCTCTCTCTCTCTCTCCCTTTCTTTTCTTTCTTTTTTTGTTTGTTTGTTTGTTTGTTTTTCCAGACAGGGTTTTTCTGTGTACCTTTGGAGCTTATTCTGGAACTCGCTCTGTAGACCAGGCTGACCTTGAACTCACAGTCATCCACCTGCCTCTGCCTCCCGAGTATGGGATTAAAAAGGCATGTACCACCAATGCACCAATGCCCGGCTTGAACTGCACTGTTACAAAAGGAGTTACAGGTCAGTTTTCTTCCAGACCAACCACTGCTATTCTTTTACTATATTTAATAGGTTTCAACACTTTGATTTGGAGCAACTGAACAATGCTGAGAATGTTCAAGACTATAGGGATTTTTGAAGCTAAACTGAGTGAAAATTGAAGTGAGATGACCACAGCTAAAAGCAAAACACTGTGCTTTGAATGTGAAGTCGTCCCTAATTTACTTCAACACTTGGTGCCCAGCTGATGGTGATTTCTGGAAGGTTGTGGAACCTGTAGGAAGTAGAGCATTATTAGAGGAAGTGGGTCACTAGGGGCTGGTCTTAAGGTTTTGCATCCTGAATGAGGATCCAATGTGAACTGCTGCTTATATCCCACCATCATGATTTCCCTGCCATGAGGACAGATGTAACTATTTGAACTGTAAGCCAAATAAACTCTTCCCCTCTGCCAAAATAATCCCCCACAAAGTTCTACTAATATGTTAGACACTTGGTCTGACGACGGACTCTGTTGGCAAAGTGCTTGACTTCGCATGTATGATAGGGTGGAGGATACGTCAGGGCAGAGCAGGGAACCATCACAAGAAAAGAAAGAAATTAGAATTTCTACTTCAGAACATTGCAGAGCACCAGTTAGAAATTTAAGAAACAAGAATGTGGGGGGGGAGGGGGAAACAAGTAAATAAAATGCAAGAGAAAAGCAAGAGGATGAAAAGGTATCCTGGGGGCTGGACAGCTCAGTCAGTGGGTAGGGCACCTGCTGTTCTCGCTGAGGACCCACCCAGGTCTTGATGCCCAGCACCCACATGGCAGCTTACAACTATCCATAACTATAGATCCAAAGGAGCTAACTCCATCTCTGACCTCTGTGGCGCCAGGCATGGAGTACACAGATATATATATGTAGGCAGAATGCTCAAACACATAAAATAAAATAAATAAGTCTAATAATAAAAATAATGATAATTTTTTAAAAAATAAGGTAACCTGACCATTATTTTGGGATCAAACACCATCGGAACACTACTTAGCAAAGGCAAAGAGAGGCCGACGTTTCCCTTCCTAAAGGAGGAGAAGCGACAGCCATGGGGAAGGGGGCCTCGCACTACTCAAGAAATGTCGGGAAACACTGCGATGAGGCAGCAAGGAAGAAATACACACTGACACCTTATGAACCCAGTTAGTATCCAGTCAGCTCACAAAGTGACTCAGTTACCCTCAGTTCTTTTCCACAGTCAAGTGTAAGAGAAAACTCACTATTTACGTACCTTGGTCTTGCTGGGAAACTGCTAAAGACCTCAGGACAGCTGAGCTATTGAGCAGTGTGTAGATGTACGACTCCACTTGCAACCTTGAGAGCACAGAAGTGTAAGAGTGAAGGGCCAGTGTCTGGTGGAGGTGCTCAGATTTGGCATCAAACAGCTTCTTCAGTTCTCCCAGGACATTTTCATTCATCTCTACTCTCTGGTAATGGTGATGACCGTAAACTTTCACTTGATCTGCGCAGACACCCTACCGGCAGAGAAAGGACATATGAAACCAGCAGCACCTGATGCAGCCAGGCAGCAGGTGGAATCCACAGGCTTCAGCGCCATTTTCGAGAAGCTTATCATCACAGCAGGGGCCCAACTCTACGCATACAAAACAATAGTCAGAGAACACTGTCAACCACAAATACGTGACAAGTTCCGCAGAGAGTGCCCCGGCAAGGTCAGCACGGAACAGGAACATTTGTCCCTAAAACTCTCACAACTGATATCTTACTTTCTATGCTAAAATTACCAAGGTCAATGTGCTATCCCTCAGCTGCACAGTAGTCCGAAACAGCTCTAGATCTACCTCATTCCTTCTGGAAAGGAATCTTTCTCCATTATATAAATTTCTCCACCATACTTTATCCTCTCACTTTCTTTTCTTGTGTTAGATTTTATTTTATGTGCATGACTGTTCCATCTGCATGTATGTATGTGTACCAAATGCACATCTGGTTGCCCATGGCGGTCAGAAGAGGGCAATGGATCCCCTGGAACTGGAGTTGCTAGTTACAAGCTGCATACAGCTTATGTATGCTGGGAATCACACCAGGCCTCTGCAAGAGCAGCAAGTGCTCTTATTTCTCCACTGGGCTTTTTCTCTATCCTCCCTCCCTTTCTTTCTCAGTATTTCCAAATGTGTCTCTTTCCACAGAATCTACAAAAAGATATACAAGGCTCTGCAAGACGAAAGGTAGGGGCCAGCAAATCACATGTCACCAGTTTTCCTTCAATGCCAAACTTGTCAAAAATGGCCTTATCTTACGTGCCATTCCTCGCAGTCCCTTAACAAAAGGCAGCTCTGACCTCCAGCGGTGTCACACTTATGGACTTTCCTACTTTCTTATTCTCTTTACTCACTGCACACCTGTGGCATCATACCAAAACCTAAAACTAACACTCTACGGTTGAAGTTTACCTTGAGACACAGCTGCTGGCTTAGACTGTGTGTAGAAGCGTATATATCTGCATATATTTGTATTTGGTTAGTTGCTAACACTCTCAGTTAGAATCCTTCATGCAAAAATACACATTCCTGCCTCTCTTGAAAAATCTCAAGATGTAGCAAGTCAACACATCAAAATCGTACATCAGTCGGCTAGACGGCAAGAGCTGCTTTCCCTCTGGACGCGGCAGGTGCTCCTCCGCTGACCACTGTCCTGCTCAGCCCTCGCCTACACGCTAATGCCTGCCCCTGTGGCTATTTGATCTTGTGATTTCTGGCTGGGTAGGTTTAACACAGAGACAATCCTAGACAGCACCGGAGGAAAGTCAGCTCAACTACCAATTCCCCAAGCTGAGAAGCTTGACACACACAGCCAAAATACCTGTACAGCCATTTGTTCATCCTTAAAGCTCCACAGTCGACTTTTGGCGTTTTGGCAATCAGACATCAAAGTCAGCAGCTCGGCTTCAGCCAACAGCAACTGCTTCCTGCATCGTGAGTAGTTCAGAAGCAACTCATAAAACTCATGCCTATCCTGATGAGCAATGCCATCAAATTCTTCTACATATGACTCAACATTTTCCAGCCATGAGCCAGGCTCCAAGAGTTTTAGCTGGTCTTTAGTAAATGGTACTAGTTCCGGTGGAGATGGGAGTTCTGGGTAGAGTCGCTCACTGCGGAGCAAGGGCTTCACAACCACCAAAGCTGGTACTTCCGCAATTTCAGCAGGCAACTCAGGATACAGTTTCTTCACTCTGGGTGGCTGAGAAACTTCTTTAGCTTCATAAGAAGTATGTGAGCTAGCAGTCTGAAGCAGCTTTGAACTAAGAGCTTCTTCATCTTCTTTCCTGGTCTGAGTTTCTCTGACTTGTGAACTTCCCGTTTCCTGCTGAGTACAGGGGAAACCAGACTGTGGTGTGCTTTCTGAAGGTCCATGTTGCGTCAGTGTGCTTTCCTCGGTCTCTGTAAAGTTCTTGGAAGGTTCAACTTTAGTTATAACATTGTCTCCAGGGTCGACCTTCAACTTGATTTCACCATCTCCATCATGGGCTCTGATCTCTGCCCTTTCTTTCAGGTCCTCTGTTTCAAGTATTAGGGAGCCTTCATCACCTACGGTCAAGGAGGTGAGTGGTATATCAAACATTTCACTTTCGTCCCATCCACTGACATCCCTGTGGAGCTGGGAATCAGCTGACACTCTCAGATCGTCTCCCTTGAGTTCACAAGCTAGAGAAGGGATTTCCTGCTCTCTAGAAGTCTCTGGAAGGGAAACTTCAACAGAAGTCTGAGGGGCTTCATCTTTCTTCTTTTCCTAAAAGCAAGATATGAAATATAACAATAGCTGATTGCTTCAGATGAAGAAAGTTTAGATTATACATAAATATCCACATTTGACATTGGGGGTTCTTCCCTCAGCTTGTTAACCCAATGCCATTCTTAGGAGTGCTTTTTCCTTTCTTAATAAGCTCTCTGATTCCACATCAGCCCCACGTCAGTTTTCTTCCAGACCAACCACTGGAATAGGTTTAAATATAAACCTATTATATTTAATAGGTTTCAATGCTTTGATTTGGGGCAACTGAACAATGCTGAGACTTTCAAGACTATGGGGATTTTTGAAGTTAAACTGAGTGAAAATTGGATTGAGATGGCCAAGGCTAAAAGCATTACCTTTTCTGTCTCTCCTGGAAGTTACCAGGACTGTCACCTAACCTGTCCTTTAATTTCTCTGAAACTCTAGCAAAACTACCCTTGAGCTTCCTCGAGTCCAGTTCTAAATTCTTCTATTAATAAGGAAACCTCAGTTACCTCAGTCACATGTGGAAGCCATGAGCAGACTCCAAGGAAGCATCTCTAAAGACACAAGTGCTGACCCCAGGCAACAGCTGTCAGCAGTTGATAACTTACACCAAAATCAACCAGCAAGGTCCCATACCTTTGAGCATTTGCGATGTGGACTCACAAGCACCCAGAGAATTCACCTCCCCACAACCTTTACAATATCACCCAATATAGATGGGGTGTCCCTTTCTGCCACACTTTCTCCTTGAACTATGACCCTAACTGAACATACTCAGAAATCTTAAAAGGAAATGCATTTGCAGGAATGTACCCTCCCAAAGGCACCTCCTCTTCTCCACATGACTGTGTAAGCTTCCTAATACATTCAGAAGTGAACCTTCATGCCAAGGTGGGAATCTCTAGCAACTCCACTTTGATTAAAGATGGTCAGCTTCCAATTATTTTGCCTACTTTAGACAGGAGGGAAAAGGGATCTAGGAGACATTGTGAATATAACTATCCTCACAGTGAAATAAAATGTAAAAAACTCAAAGTGTTCTCAAGCCACTGGCATAATAATTCATGTCTCCGGTAATTTTAAGAAATTTTCTCAGCCAGGTGGTGGTGATGCATACCTTTAATCCTAATCCTAGCACTCAGGAGGCAGAGGCTGGTGGATCTCTATGAGCTCGAAGGAAGGCCAGACTGGTCTACAGAGAGAGAGTTCTAGGACAGGCTCCAAAGCAACATAGAGAAACACTGTCTCAAAAAAAAACAAAAAAAATTAATTCTTTAATTGATGTATATGCATGTGTGCCTGTCTGGATGTGTATCACATGCATGCAATGCCATGGAGGCCAGAAGGGAATACCAGATTCCTGGGACTAGTAACAAGAAATTGTGAACCCCTCAACATGGGTGCTGTGAACAAGACCTTTCATGTCTTTTATCTTTTTTTATATGTTCCTTATAATAAGTTTTTATACGTTTTTAGTATCATCTTTTAGGAAACTGTCTTCCAAGTTCTTAAGTTCTTGGAATATAGTTATCTCTTTTTTCAGTTAAGAAAGCAAGAATCATTAACCGTAGTGAGTTCCTCCAGTTTACTCAGGATGAATGTAAAGACAGCCAGTGGCAGCGGAAGAAACCGGTTTCTGTAATAGACTGCAAGGATGCTTAATTTTCTTGAAGAAACTTTATTAAAATTATCAGGTTTTGTTCCCAGTCAACTCAGCCACAGTCACAACTGGCAGAGCAGCACTAAGAATTGTCATAGGAATAAGCATAGCCAGAGTTAGAAAGGCCTGCAGCTCAAGAGCTCCCCAGGATCAGCACAGGGGTCTCCAGCATCACCTCCAGGAGTCCTTGCCAGGTGGGCGGGATTCTCCAAAGGGCCTTTCCAATTAAGGAGCTCCATTTGCAAGGCATTTGTGTGCTGCCATTCCCAGAGGCTACAGCATGGCTTCCCCACTGAGCCACCTCTCCAGGTAGATTCTCTTAAATGCTATTAAAGCATCCTGTGCCCTCTGAGCGGAACAACTGTCTCCTTCTGAGAATTTGCCTGTGTTTGTGTTCACAAGTTATATTCTTCCTTAAAACTTTTACATCATTTCTGGTCTTAGAAATCTTTTTACTTTCTCCTGAACCTTTGGGTTTATCACAGTAAAATCCCCTGAAGTGCAGAAGGGAAAAGCTAAATTAGCCGCACAACAAGCTGTCACCAACAGTTGTCTCCTGAAGATGGAACTCCGGGATGTCCATTTCTGTACACACGCGCACACTAACACAGACATCTTCTCTAAGCAACATGAAAATAGCCATGCAGTTATGTTTGTTCTGAAGCACATGTGGGACGTTTCTACTCCAGACTATGAGTCCACTGAGTCCTGCAGATTTTTCTTATATCCCAAATGCCTAGGAGTCATTTTGGGGAAAACAACAAGTGGGCATTATGTATTCAATAACGACTGGATCTTGGGAGGCACAAAAGAGGCCAAATAATAGTATATAGCATTGTCCAACTTTATTCTAATCACAATTCATGCCTAGAAGAAACAAAGGAATTAATTACCTAGGCAATAGAGCAGGGGAAGCAGGACCACAGGGATGCACAGGAAGGGTTAAGCAGAAAACAACCCATCCATCAATTACTAGATGTTTCTATTGGTTGTTGAAATTTAGAACTCAATACAATTGGTTGAGACAGGCTTTTGTTACATAATGCCAAGCAACCTAGAATTCATTAGATGGCCTGGAACTCACAAACCTCCTCCCTCGGTCTGCTGAGTGCTGGGATTACAGACATGCATCACCACTCTGCCTTACTATAAAATCTATTAAGTCTTCAGAGTAAATCCAAATCTAAGATTCTGTTCTTCTTACCCCAAGTTTACTAAGATAAATGAAGTCCATATGCTCGAGTTTGGGAGAATGTTTTTACAAAGACTCATACTAATAGAATAAAAACATCATTGGGGCTACATCTGAAGTATCCAGTAGATAAACACCAGATTCCTAACCACAACCTGTCATCCTGAAGTCAGATTACTGACCACTGAGGAATGTGTCTGACAAATCCAGAAGCCACAGCTCTGCTACACACAACAGCACATGACACTACCATTCCTGAACAAAGCCTTGGAATCTGCTCATCACAGAGACGTTTTGATGATATGGGAGTTTATAACTATGTCCAAACAATAGCCAGCACTAACAACCACAGCTACTTACCCTAGAGCAAATCCGTTTTCTTAGGCTGGCAAGCATGAGGGTCTTGCTAGTGTCATGGACATTTTCTATTTGTTTTCTTATGCTAGTCCTGAAGAAAAATTAAATTCTTCAGTGACAAAGCTTGGACATGTACTTCAAGGTTGGTTCTTATTTTTTTTTTAAACTCAATCAACTTTATCAGGTGACTACAGGAATTATGAAAGGCACTGGGAACAAGAGTGATCCCTCGCTCAGTGAGTTCACTGACAGAGTAGACTGTGGCTGGCAAAGTTGCTACAGATGAGAAGAGGAACATAAAGTGGCTCACAGTGTTACTGACAGAGGGAGAATCACGAGGATGATAAGGGAACGCTCCGAGTGAGCGTGGTTTAAACTGAGACAACAAGCAGTAGCTGGGCGGGGAGCCTGGAAGGGTGAGGCCAGGGCTCTAAAGCAGAAAACTACACAGAGAAAGATGGGTGTGACAGAAGCTCAAAGGGAAGCTGGGGCTGGGGTCCTTAATTAGTGCTTCTGCTCCTATCCTCTGTGAAATGAGAAATGAGAAAACTTAAGAACTTTTTTTAGGGGGGTGGAGCTTTGGAACTTTTTTTTTTTGGCTTTGTTCTCTGTTTTGAGACAGGGTCTCACTATGGATCCCTGGCTGCCCTGGAACTATGTAGACCAGGCAGGCCTCAATCTCACAGAGATCAGCCTACCTCTGTTTCCCATGCCCATGGGTGTGCACCACCATGCCCAGCTTTTGGAAGGCTTTTTAAAAAACAGCAATCTAACAGGCGTGGTGGTTTACACTTTGATACCAGTACTCAAACAAAAGCAGTTGATCTCTGTGAAGCCAGCCTGGCCTATCTATTCGGTACATATGCATAGGTATGTGTGTGTTATTTATATGCATGTATCAACCTAGCTTCAGTTCAGAGAATTGCAGTAAGAAAGAATGTGAAAGTGAGGGCAGTTCAGCAAAAACCCTCCTTGCAAGAGTTGCAACAATTATGATGAAGAGTACTGGGCAGAACCAGATCATGCATGAAATTCAACTCCCGGTGACCGAGAAGATTTGGAGGACGGGGCAAAGTGTGCGTGAGATTGCTAATTGGAGCAAATGTCTTGGAAATGAGCTTTAACATAAGCTTCAGTTGAGAAAGTAGAGTATTAAATGTGTATGTAGGAAACTGCCTGAAATATGTTGATAAACTAGACAAATCATTTTTCATAAGACTTAAAAGCTTAAGATTTTCATTTTTAATTTAGAAATTATATGAAACAAAATAAAGAGAGGATCCTCTTTACTGACTATTTTTTTTGGTATCTGTAATATGCTATCTTTGGACAGTCAGACGCATATGTAAAATAATGATTAAGTTACTGAACTAAAGTCATGATTTCTGGCTTTCCCCTGAGCTAAACCATGCTAACTGCATTATTTAGGATAATCAGTTAACCTGTCTAGGTCGTAGTTTTATCAATTATCTGAGGGGGAAAACAAATTATTAGTATTTAATATTCTGTTCTCTATAGATAACTCGTAAACTACCAATAACAGGCTCAAGGGGTTTATGCATGGCTGGTTAACTGTTTGTCTGCAATAGTTCTTTATCAAGCCAATATATTGCAAAATTACTTTTCTGAGCCAGGCATGGTGGCACACGCCTTTAATCCCAGCACTTGGGAAGCAGAGGCAGGCAGATCTCTGTGAGTTCAAGGTCAGCCTGGTCTACAGAGTGAGTTCCAGGACAATCAAAGATACACAGACAAACCCTGTCTTGAAAAACCAAATATATATGTTTATGACGATGGGAAGGTGGCACACTGCATAAAGTGTTATCCATAGAAACATGAGGACTGGGTTCCAACCCCAGGGCCCACACGCAGATCCTAGGTCATGGCCCCCGACAAACCTAAGCTAAATAGCAATCTCCAGGTCCTAGCCAGAGGATCTGTCTCAAAAAAAGTAAGGGAACCAGCTCCTCCTGAAGAACAATACCCAAAACTGACTTCTGGGCCACAAACATTCACTGGAACAACGTTCAACCAAATCTGCACTCAAGCCCCCTCACCATGCACACAGAGGTTTCTATTTTTTAAGTGCTCATAATATCCAAAGTAAAATAACAATAACAAATAAATAAAAGGTGTGTTGAAAAGTAATGTTTCTAGGCTGAGGTAGGAGGCTCAGGTTCAAGTACAGCCTGGGCTACACAGTGAGGTCAGCTTGGGATGTACGTGTATGTGTGTGTGTGTGTGTGTGTGTGTGTGTGTATAAAATTGTTTCTAAGAAAAAAAAGAAATTTCTGACTCTGATGTGTCTAATTCTATACTACTTTACAGAAAGGGATCCACGCACTTCTTTTACACTCTATAAATTTCCCATAAATCACTGTTAAAACTTGTTCACAGACACACACACACAAAATTATACTTTGGAGTTAGTAACATCACCAATTCTTGAGTTTTGGATTAAGGCAAAGTTATTTAGATCCAATGGTCACGTGTGATGGCATGTCTTTATTCCCACCAATCCAAAGGCAGAAGCGAGTTAAAAACCCTGTTTAAATATACAGATATAAATATACACAGACCTGTAAATATACAGGTCATACGAGATGACCGCCTCGTTGGGGTAAACTTGAATTTGTTCACTGCAATAAGTAAAGAGGAGCCAAACGAAAAATTCAAAGCGTACCTAAAAACAAATCAACTTAAAACCTCACTTAGGGCATGCAACAATCCAGAAAACATAAAATTCAACTGTGTGGTCTTTGCCCTGTGTTGATTTCTGGATATTCATGTCGCACTGTAAACAACCAAGTTCATAGGAAATAACACTGACGCCCTGAATTTTGAAAACGAAGGACTGACACATCCCTGAAATCCACAAACCATATCTCCCAAGCTAAGGACGGACCTTCTCCGTGCATTTCCAGAGGCTGAAAATGTTCCCATGTTACAAAGGACACGATAGGAAGTCAGAGATTGGGCTGAGGAAGAAAAGGCTTTGATGTGGGAAACCAAGACGAGCAGAAGATAAAAGCCCAGTGAGGTCAGGACTGGGAGGCGGCCAAGTGGCCCTGACAGTCGCCCGACCGCACGGGACCCTACGGCTCCGCGCGGGGAGCCGAGGGCTAGCGTGGGAGCGACAGCATCCTCACCTTGCCTTTGGTCCGGCTGGCCTTGGCCTTGGCCCGGCGGGGCTTCACGGCCTCGGCCATACACTCTGACTCCGCGGCGTCGCCGTCTGTTGCTGTCAAACTCCTGCAATTCACGCAAGCCGCCCAGTTCCGGCCTCCTGCCTGTCACGTGACGGCCCCTCCGCCACTAAGGGAAGGGAGGCGGCCGCAGGAACCCGTACGGGCTGCGACTTGGAACAAACTAGCCAGGGACTACTTGTGCGGGAAGGCCCCGCCCATCCTCGCTCTGGTCCCGCCCACGCCCAGCCCTCGCCCCGCCTCCAGTGCCGCCCTCTGTGCGGCCCGTGCGTCCGCCGCCGGCCGCAGGGTGGCACTCGGAGCTGCCCTCTGCCTCCCCAGCCCCACAGAGAGGTCTTCAGACTGCACCATGCCGTGCCATAAGAGGCCTTGGCAATTTGACTTTGATCCCTAGATAACCAATTCCAGCCTAAATCTACTTTATGTTTCCGGAAAGAAACCGGATGTCTATTCAAAGTGCAGTCCAGTCTGTTGCTTTACAGAAGGAGATGATGATACTTCCATCTCGGGTGTCATGAGTTTATGTGGAAGGCACTTAATAACAGAAGGCATCTCTATATTATCGTTACTATACAAGCTTGCTGAAAGTACTATAAAATACATAAGTACTTTGTTCTTGTGTTTATTGGTAGGGTCTGTCAACCCTCCTGGAGGATCAGCTCCTCAGAGCAGGATAATTCTTTCTCTGATGTATCCCAGGGACCTCCGAAACAATAGCCAGCACATAGTAGATAGTATGTGATGAATGGAATGAATGGCTAAGAGTTGTTTTGTTGGGGTCATGAAAGGGTTCAAAGGAAAGCTACTTTGCTCCTGGGAGGAACTTCCGGAAGCCGCTCTGCACGATCCTATGCTGGGATCTCTGTTGCCCTCCGGTGGTCGTTCCCCAGTAGTGACAACTTGTACAGCGGATTTTGGAGACGTTTTTCATTCTTGCTGTCAATTACTCCCTGCACAGCACCCTGTAGGAGGCCTTATTTTATCCTTGCTGATTACTAAATACATGTTGTGGAACTGATGTGGGTTCCGACTAATTTAAGCTAAAATTACTTCAGCGTCTTGAATCAATCAGCATGTAAACTGAAAAGTGTCCAGCTTACATATCGATTTTACTGGACTCTGCACAGATGTGATCTCTTCCATTAAAAGGCTTGTGTTTCCACAGGAAGAAAAACACACAAAAGTATCCTTCTTCTATTCCTCTCCCTTCCACAATCTCCTCCACTAAAAGAAAGCGAGGAAGTTAGGTCGTTGAATTAGTTATTTACATCCTCAAAGCATCAAACGTGCTCAGACTGAACCAGTCAACACCTTGATTTCTGACTTCAATCCTAGAACGGTGACAGTGAATCTCTCTTGTTTAAGTCACCCAATTTATAGCACTTCAGCATTCCAGCTTTCTGATACAAACTCCCAGCACTGCATCCTTTGGTCGGACTAACTCATGTCCGTACTTTGTACTGTTTTCCAATTTCTGTGGGGAAATTAAAGTGCAGTCTCCCACAATGGCAATTTACTTAATAGCACATTTCTAAGGATGTGTGTGTGTGTGTGTGTGTGTGTGTGTGCAGGGGCACATCTATATGCACAGAGTTTTAGAAGGCAGCTTTCAGGAGTCAATTCTTTCCTTCTACCATAGGTTCCAAGGGTCAAACTCAAGTCCTGAGACCGGCATGGTAAGCACCCTTACGGACTGAAGCATCTCCCCAGCCCTTTACAGCACATTCTCTCTCCATTTCTTTCTCATCCCTACCTCACTTCCTCTTCGGCTGCAGTTTCACTATTCACTTCCGAAACACACTATGTGATCTCAAATCCTTCTCTCAGGATCTCCTTCTAGGGGACTTCAAGCTAAGACAGCCAACACCAGAAACAATCCTTGAAAGTGTTGGGACAGGATGTTAGTGTTGCTCCCACCCACCCAGCCAGAAGACAAGGTTCTCACGGGAGGAGACCGGTGACTTCATCTGAGTTGCAGCCCCACCATCACTGAGGCCTCTCCGGTTACCCAGGGAGGAATTCAGGTAAAAGCTTATGCAACTTCATTAGCATTTAAAATCACGGGGCAAGCATAATTCTAAGGACCACAGTGTAAGCTGGCCGTTACCAGCTGCTGGCCCTACACTGATGGAAATCACAAGCTGGGGCCACTCAGAGAATGATGAAGGGGCCAGAAAGCTGCAGCAGCATCCTTGAAAGAGATGAACAGAAACCAATGAAGAAATGCATTTTGTAAGTGCGTGAAGTAGATATGAATATGAAAAGAAATCATCTCACTTCCACATTGCTTAGCTTTCTTCAGATCCCGAGAGTCCTACATCAGGCAGGCCCATCAGCTATCCATGATGCAAGGGAAATGGTGCATTCTGCCTCTGTGTGGTTACTTATCTCTAAACTTAGCACTCAGGAGACAGAGCCGGAAAGATCTTGTATCCAAGGTCAGTCTCAAATACACAGCAAGAACCTGTTTCCCAAAAGGGGGATTAGGCAAAGACTGGAGGAAAAAAAAAATGGTGCGGTCTTGATTCTGTCATAAGCAAATCAAGAAGGCTCAGGTACATTAACCGGTTAGGCAGACACATAATTACCGTCCTCTATTGAATCTATGCCTCTCTACCTCACACTTGAGGCCTCAAAAAGATTCCTTCAACCCACCTGACCGGGGGACGGGGACAGGACAGGACTCAGGCTGGTTAAGACCAGCTCCGCTCTGCAATCATTGTTTATGTGGGCGTGGTCTGCAGCCACACTGCAAAACTCAAGAGTGTCTGAAACAAAGATGGCAAGATGCACTCCCAGTAGGTGCTGTGTCGATCGGGACAGCTGGTCACCAACGTGCCAGGAGGGGAGAGGCAACCCAAGTTGAATGATGCCTGGACCAGGTGGACTGGACAGGGAGGACAGTCTGAAGACTGAAGGGGGAGAGGGCAGAGTGGGCGGGATTATGCAAATAAACAACAAAATGTGTGTGTGCGCGACTGTGTTTCTTACAGTGCCTTTAAGGGAATTGCCACCACTGCCACAGGGTGGATGCTGATAGAGGAGGGTTATCTGTCTATTGTGTTATTTTCATTGGTCAATAAAGAGACTGCCTTGGTCCTTTGATAGGACAGAAAATTAGGTAGGCGGAGTAAACAGAATAGAATGCTGGGAAGAGGGCAATGAGGCAGATGCCATGGAGCCAGCCACCAGGTCAGACATGCTGAATCTCTCCCGGTAAGCCACGACCTTGTGATGCTACACAGATGATTAGAAATGGGTTAATCAAGATGTGAGAGTTAGCCAGTAACTAACTCTCTAGAGATAATGGGCCAGGCAATGCTTAAATGAATATAATTTGTGTGTTGTTATTTCTGGGACTAAGCTAGCCGTGCGGGAGCCGGGTGAGGCGAAAAGCAGGCCTGCCCGCAGCTCCTTTTCTACAGATGGCGCCAACGTGGATAACTGAATCCACAGAAAGCTTGAGAAAGCTTGGGAACGAATAGAGTAAAGCATGTTTTGTTGGTAGCAGCAATTTCTCAGGTCTGCTCTGTTTGCTAGAGCAAGCAAGCACTCTCATCTAAGGGAGGCTTCCTGACTCAGCTTTAGCTGCAAAACTTTGTAGCTCATTAAGAGGTCCTGCCACGAAACACTTAAACGGTGTTGGTGAAAAACTGAATGCATGCTTTTCGGTTTTCAGCCGTAGCAGGAAAAAAGCTGCGCTGTTTTAAAATGCCATCTTTCTGGGCTGCCCTGCCAGGGCAATCTCTGACTGTTTCAGGCAGGCAGTCCGACTGAGTGTGGTCTGTGAGCAGAATGCTGCAGCTTGCTTGCTAGCAGGGACCTTGAAACGCCACAGAGTTGTGACAATAAAAATGGCTTCAGCAGTACCTCTACCATGAGGCTGGAAAGCTAAGAAATGGCCTAGATCCAGCCGTCAAAGCCACGGTTTTAGGCTCATGTGGTCAGAAAAAAGGAGAGATATACAGTAAAGAGAGATTCAAAGACAAAGAAAACCTCTAAATGGTTTATAGTGTGTTACAAATAAATGCAGGATAAAAGTTAAAGTTCTTAAAGTAAAAAGAGAGTAGTTATGTGTGGTGGTACACACCTTTAATCCCAATGCCCGGAAGGTAGAGGCATATTGACCTCTGTGACTTCAAGGGGTAGAGGTAGATTGACCTCTGTGACCTCAAGGTGTGGTGGTACACACCTTTAATCCCAATGCCTGGGAGGCAGAGGCAGAGGGCTCTCTGTGAGTTCAAGGACAGCCTGGTCTACAGAGTTATTCCAGGACAAAGATATACAGAAAACCTGTGTCAAAAAGTAAAAGTAAAAATAAAAGAAATAGAGGTTAAAAATAAAGCTGCATAAAGATGAAAAATACACAGAGAATCTTGATACTGTATGCTATTATGCTCTCTTTGAATTGTTTGAATGCTGAGGAAGGAGTAACAGCTGCTAAAAGATATTTGTTTATAAATGCTGCAGAATTAATCCAAGATAGATATGTTGAAAATACCTTGACTTCTGAATTTGGATCTAAGGATATGATACTTTGGAAAGGAGGTTCTTCTTTTGTTTTCACAGAGGATGAGATCCTGTGGATTGCTTCTATCCCGATATGGTATAATAGACCACACCCTCCTGAAAGGTTTCTGTGAACACCCTCAAAAAATTTCTTCACTCAACTGCCGACTGAGATGAACCTGACAGACAGGTTATACCATAAAAGACCTGATTAACTGTGCCCCTATACAGCAGAAAAAAGTTTGGAGAGAAATAACTACGTCCATATTCCCAAATATTGTTTATAAATGTTCTTTTACATTTAAAGGGGGATATGATATAGATATGAATAATTTCATTGGTATGGATTTTAAGGTCAATTTTGTTATATGTATATATATTTCTGATCTTGACTGATGTATTGTGATTGTGTAGTTCATTTTAAAAATGTAATGTATAATTAAAAAATATAGGTTGTTAATGAATAATATCGATAACAGTCAAGCTTGTAGTAATGTTAGTCTGATTTTCGAGAAGTGCATAGATATATTTCAGATAGACATTCATATCTTTCAAAGACTACAAAACATGGCATTTAATGTTTTAATAACTTAGGACTTTTCATGACAATGAGACACGTCTGCTCCTGGCAGCACTAATCTACTTCAAGAGGAAGATGGGCATCGAAGAGGCTCCTTATGGAGTTGGTTAGCCATTTGGGCAAGAAACTGCTCTTGCCTGGACTGTTATATAAACTGGACACAGAGAACCCACAGAGAGAGGACTGCTGAACTTGCCTAAAGGTGAGATGATCTTTCAGGGTTCCTGATTCATGAAAGAGTCTGCGAGACATTCTGCAGGACACAGCAGATAGTGACTGAATTGCCTTTGAAATTTCCTGCTTCATGGAAATGTCTCTGGATATTATGGGCCTGAAGGCCAAAGATGGGTGCCCCAACGATACAGAGGAACTTTGGGTGACTGTCCAGGCAGTGAGATGTCTCTGTCATTTCTAGAGTTTTGGAAGTTGCTTACTTCTTGTTTACTTAGGTAATATATCCTTCTGGAGTCTTTGATGGAGTTAAAGAATGGATAGTCGTAGTTATAGTTTTCCATTATTGTGATAAAGATATAGTTATAAATATTGTGACTGTAATTCTTGCTTGATAACTGTTTTGTTATGTGTAATTTTACTATGGTAAAATAAAAGCCTTTCTCTTTTGTTTAAACAGAAAAAGGGAAATGATGGAGGAGGGTTATCTGTCTATTGTGTTATTTTCATTGGTCAATAAAGAGACTGCCCTGGCCCTTTGATAGGACAGAAAATTAGGTAGGCGGGGTAAACAGAATAGAATGCTGGGAAGAAGGGAAGTGAGGCAAAAGCCATGGAGCCAGCCACCAGGTCAGACATGCTGAATCTTTTCTGGTAAACCACTACCTCGTGGTGCTACCACGAGATTATTAGAAATGGGTTAATATCAAGATATGAGAGTTAGTCAGTAACTAACTCTCTAGAGATAATGGGCCAGGCAGTGTTTAAATGAATATAACTTGTGTGTTATTATTTCTGGAACTAAACTAGCCGTGCGGGAGCTGGGCAGGACGAAAAGCAGGCCTGCCCGCAGCTCCTCACTACAAGATGCAAAACTGCGTAGTGAAGACAGCTCATCTGGCAGACTGCCCTGGATGAGGACTCCGTCCTTGGCCACCCCAGTGCGTCCTTGGTAGGCCATGAATAGAAAGGTCATGGTTAGAGAAATGAGACTGTACAATGACCCTCCACTGACCCCATGTGACCTAGTGACCACTGCGGATTATCTGTGTGGAGACTGAACTCCAAACCTTTTACCATCCCACCAAAAGACCAGCCAGTGAATTAAAAACATCAAATCTCTCCCACTCTGGAGGAGCTAATGGCTTCTCCCTGCCAGGACAGATGCCAAGAATGGGTTTGCCCTTTAGCCTATAGAGTCTGGGCAGTTTATAGAATTCCTGATATGCCATATGAAATCCCACTTAACGTTATCTTAGACTAGTATTTCTCAAATTATTTTTCTATTATCATTCCCCTAAGAACTCTTTTAGACACTTCCCTAATTGCCACTCTTATGAAATTTTAACACAATAGGCATATTATTATGTCTTTGGTAAGATGCTATGGATGTGCTTTAGATCTATGAAAGAGGGGAGAGGTCAGGGACTGCAGAGGTGGCTGAGGGGGCAAAGTCTAGTGGTCAAGTATGAGGACCTGGGTTCTGATCTTTAAAACCCACATAAAAGTCAGATGTGGTGAGGAACTGTTGGGGGCTGCAGACCCCTGGCCCCTTGACTTCCTCTGCCTGCCTCAGACCCTTTGCCTGCTGGAGTGAACCGAGCAAAACAGCTTGTTTACCTGTGCCTGCAGCTGCTCTGAGCACGAGACCCTGATGGCAGGGGAGTGGGTTCTGATGAGTCTGCAGCTGAGAGATCCTGAGAGCTGGGGCGTGGCTATCAGTTAAGGATCCCTATATTCGCTTCTCTGGAGCACAATACACTTGGCATTCTTTTTTTTTTTTTTTATTATGTATACAATGTTCTGTCTGTGTGTCTGCCTGCAGGCCAGAAGAGGGCACCAGACCCCATTACAGATGGTTGTGAGCCCCCATGTGGTTGCTGAGAATTGAACTCAGGACCTTTGGAAGAGCAGGCAATGCTCTTAACCTCTGAGCCA